TGCATTCTCTCTCTCTCTCTCTCTCTCTCTCTCTCTCTCTCTCTATCTCTATCTCTATCTCTATCTCTCCATTATGTAGCCCATTTTCTTCATGTCTTCAAAAGTTCAACTTATAGCTCGGAATTTTCTTATATTTTGAGATTATCTAAACTGCTTACTGACATAGGAATCTGTCTTTCATGTTCAAGGTAAGCTGTAATTTAATATTTCTGTTAATTTCCAACTTAATCAGTTCCATTTTTGAACCTCTAAGATTTTGCCAACCCAATGTGACAACAATTAATGTGGTCCTGAGCACCAAGTCTCTGAAGTGTTACTTGCTGATCAGTGGCTATTAGTAGTATTTTTACTTAAAATAGACACTCATTGCTTTTGATGAAAATATGTTATCTTTGAACTTTAAGAAATATATTGACAAATTAGATAGTCCTTCACTTTTTTTACTTTGGGGCAGAAAATTTTAAGCACTATAAATGCTAGCTAATTTAATGCAGGAATTTTGTGATGTTAGTTCTGACTTTTGTTGATGGACCACTGATGTGTATAATCTATGCATGTATGCTATTACCCATATTAGGCTAAAAGCCTTTTACTCAACTAGATAAAAGAAATTCCTTAATTTGTTTGGACTGAGGATGATATAGGGTTCTGACAAATATTTTGGTCCTATTATGTGTGTAGTGTGGGATGTTTGCTTTGTCTTCTACTTGGTTTTAATGACTTAAATCCTAAATTTCTGCTTAGTTTTACATGCAAGTGCGCTTAGCAGTATTTCTACTCCGTAAGTGACTTCCATGAAATCCTTTTGATTTTGTGCTTAGTTTTACATGCAAGTGCACTTGGCAGTATTTCTACTCCGTATTTGACTTCCATGAAATCCTTTTAGTAATAACTAAGAACAAGAGCAACCATCACCTAGTATGCATCCTGCTGCTGGCATGTCCAAATGTATGAAGCTCCTAATTGTCAATAACTCAATATAGTCAGACATCTGTTTCTGAGAGAAACATTTTCAAATTGTGAGCATAAATCTGGTAATCGCTTAGCAGTATACCTTCTCTCTTTCAATTTATATGAAGGCTTGACATGAAATTTCTATTGCTTTGTGAGCATACATCTGGTAATCGCTTATGCTTGACATGCTTGTAATAGTTGCTGCAGTAATTTACTTGTAATATTTTGCTTCTTAGGTTTGCAAAGGGATAGACAGTGCTGCTGATGGTACCAGTGTTCTAGATCGCATATTTTATGGAGTAAGTGTTTATTATAACTACACTGGGGCTGTTGACTGCTTCAAACTGGATGATGATCCTCATGGAATGAGTGGTTGGCAATGGCAGGTGCTGAATCCTCTTATACTTTGTACTTTTTATAAGAAAAATTGCAAGAGAGGGAAAATTAGTTAATGAAATAAAAAGTTCAAACGATGTTCAATCAGGCATAATGTGCAATCAATACATATATAAATTATCAGTGTGCTTCCTGTTTGTAGGCGTGTACAGAAATGGTAATGCCAATGTCTAGCAATCCTGAAAAAAGCATGTTTCCTATATTTAGCTTCAATAAAACTTATGAGGAAGAACGCTGCATGAGATCATATGGAGTCAAGCCACGATTCAGATGGATTACTACAGAATTTGGTGGACATGTAAGATTCCTTTTGATCTCTCTATGACTGCAAAATATATACTACCTCCGTTACAGGTTATGTGCAACGATTAGACATTTTCCCTCTCAGCTTTATGTCAAATCATTGCACATAACTTGTAACGGAGGTAGATTTTTTCAATGTACAAATCTTATGTCAAGTGTATTGGTTATGATTCCTTACATCTTTACGGAGGAACTGTTCATATCCCACTTCTTCAGAGATATTATATGCATATGTACCCCTTTTCAAATGCATTTCTTTATGTACTCCCTTGTAGAGGGGAAAAATGGGTGGGTGTGGACTCAAGTCTCAACTCAAAGAAAAATATAGACAGTTTCTTAAAATGGAAATAGGGCAAGTAAATTAGGATACCACAAAATGGAACATGGGGCAATTAAAATGGAATAGAGGTAGTATTTGATCTTGTTTGCAAGTTTAGATTCTGGAAAGGCTTTGGTCTGACTAGTACAAGTTAACACAAGTTATAGCATTTTAAGCTTGTTTAACACAATTTAGTATGGATAAGTTGGTTCTTTGCCATGTTAAGTTCTGCGTTCTTCTATTTATAAACAGGACTGTAAGCTAAACAACTAGCTGACTGAGCTGAGTGGACATATTTGTGAGTACTATTACTATTTTTTATTTATGTTAACTGATAGTTTCTAGCCACCCTACCAAACAGTGTCTGATATACGTAGTATGTTTGATTGATTGGTATATTTATTACATTGTCACTAACTAACAAGTTCTGCTGCTACAAATGGCTTTTTTGGAAAACAAAATTTGTTTTTGTAACTGCTTCAAGGACTTGATGGAATTGAAATGGAAATCAATACTCAATTAATTATATTTAAATTGATGTGTATTGTTGCCTTCATAGTATTTCTTGTGCTGGTGAATCATTGCTTTTATTATATGGCATGGTAGCTTCATGTGGCTCAGTGGCTGTATATGAATCTTAAGTGATGCCTGTTATTCACATTGTGAAGGATTTTAAGACTACCTGGAAAAACAGTGGGAGTAACATAATTTTTTCAAATGGACTATTGGATCCGTGGAGTGGTGGCAGGTAAGACCAATACAGTTTACGTGAACATAAGTTTCTCGACATTTTCCAATCTGATGATCATTATTCTCAACTCCCCTTCAGCGTTCTGCAAAATGTCTCAGAATCACTGATTGCCCTTGTTACAGAAGAAGGTAGCATGTTTCCTTTGTATTCTACTCGTAATTAATTACTTTCACCTTTTGAGACTTGCATTGTAGATTAGTTACATTATTATAGCTGTGTTTTGTCTAATGAATTTTCTGAGTTTCAGCAATACAGTCTAAATGAACATGATTTTTACTGATATCACCTATGTCTGCTGATGCTCAACACATAGATTTATAGTTTATCTTGGTTCTGTATAAGTAATCTTACTCTTATCATATTTAAATTGTGTATCAGGTGCACATCACCTAGATTTGCGAGCTTCAACTCCAAATGATCCTGATTGGCTGGTCCAACAAAGGACATCTGAGATTCGATTGATTAAAAGTTGGATTGATGACTACAACCAAGGGAAGGGCTCTGCTTTCAGTATCTAATTATTGTAGGATTCACATAACATCCTGAAAAAAGACTCACACCACTTTAACACGTACCAGTTCTTTCTCTTGGCTTCTGTCACACTCGTAACATAGTACTTCGTATGATGTATTAGTAATTCATGCTTTGTAAAAAGCACTGAATACATATTTGCCTCCAGAATCCAGATATACAACGTCTTGGACATTCTAATGATTGTTGATTGATGTATCAGTATACTGTGAATGTTCTAGAGACTTTGTCAAGAATTGTTTGTGATTAGTGATAATGTCATAAATGTACAAGCTTGTTAAACAAGCATCTAATTACTTTAACATATTGACAAACTTTTTAGTAACTGAATACAAGTTTATGCTAAATGCTATATTGGAAGTGTGGTGAGCCAAGCCTTTATTTTAAAACCAAAGACTCTTCTTTAGTCTGAAGCCTGAAAGACCTAATGACCTTATAGTACTACTACAACAGATTTCAACTAAATTCGTTTTGCAACTTGAATTTTGCATAAAGTGATTGTATCTATACAATGAAAGTCCCCCGAATCTAAAGATTTTTGCCCTGTTCGGCAAAACCAGTGATAGCGGTGATAGAGTAGTTGGTAGGTTTAAGAGTAGAGAGTAGCTGCCGATTATTAGTGGGTATGATTTAATTGTCAAAACAACGATTGATGGTACTCCGTATTTATTAGTGGGTATGAATATTTGAAAATTCTACCGTAAATGACACATACCGTTATGTACCACTAAAGCAACGTACCTTAATGTACCTTTAATAAATTTAATTAAATACGTAGTATGTTATTTTGCAATTTTTTAACACAGGTTGACTTTAGCTAAGATAATGAATTGCATTAATTCTTTGACTAGTGATTTAAGGATCTTATTTTTTTTTATCACGTCTTTCCATCCAAAATAAACAATGTATTGCACATCATGTAATATAGACTTTACTGACAATTTTTTTTCCTGATAGTGTTTTATTTTGTTCAAAACGCTAAACACTGTTCTATCTGGTGTTAGATATATATGTCCCATACTCTCATTAGTCCCATGTATTCTTGATCATATGCACTAACAAGGCAATAAAAATGTAGAATGTCAACTAGTATCCCAACTCTAATCTCTCATCTCTCCTAAATAATAGCCTCAATTATTGAGATTTTTAAAATGACTTATTGGCTTGTTTGGCATTGTTTTTTGTTTTCAGTTTTCAGTTTTTTTGAAAACAAAAAATCAAAAACAGGAAACAAGAAAAAGTTGTTTTCACTTTTCTGTTGTAAGATTTCAAAATTAGCATGATTTTAATAAGTTTGACTAATTTTTTATTCATTATATGACATATATCATACACTTTTAAAATACAAAAAACCAAAAAACTAAAAACTGCAAGGTAATTTCTTCCTTGATTCCTTAAATTTTTTTTTTAATTGATTTTATGTCATACATCCTAATTTCTTTACAAAAATCATATATTTTTTTTAAGACTACAAAAAAATTTATTTTATTTTTATTTTTTTTTTACAAAAATCATATTTTGGATCGCACCTAAAAAAAAAAAAATTTATTTCTTACATTTCCATGCATAAATATAAAATCTAAATTTGAAAGTCGTTATGCATATGGGCTCACAATAAGCAAATTGATTTGTTATACTAGTACTCCATAACAAGGAAGTAAATTAAAATTCAAAATGACCAAAAATATACCGAGAGAGAAAAGAAAAATATTGCCTAAAAAAAAAAAAAGAGAGAGAGAGAGAGAGAGAGAGAAAAGGCAAATTCCAGATCACTCTCCATAAGTATACAACAAAGTTTCCAAAACCAGGTTAAATTAAATTCACAATACCTGGACATAAAATAATCCTTTCTAATAATTAATTAATTACTCCATATAATTCAAGTCAACACTTTTTAATTATTACCCACTAAACCCTCCGCTAATCCCATTCAAATCATTTCAAAAATCAAATTATCCCACCACTAAACATGTTTACATGTTCCAAAAGGCGGGGTTAAATAAAAATCAAAAACACCCTCCCCTAATACGACGCCGTTTTCTCCTCTACCCTAAAACTAAACCCAAGAAAAAGCAAAACCATTCTCTCTCTCCTCCCTGTTCAAAATCATCATCATCTTCTTCAATAAAGTAAAGAAAAACACTCAGGAGAGAGAAACTTCTAGAGAGAGAAACTCAAGTAGTATAGTAGAAGGAATCTTTTCTAGGGTTTGGAATTTTTCAATGGCGAGTCCCCGGATTCCGGCGACTCCTTCGCCGGTCAATTTGAGGGCGATTACTATTACGCCGGGATCAAGGATTCTAGATGTTTCTTCTCCGGCGACTAATGGCCGGAATTCTGCTTTTTCCGATGAAGGGATCTGGAAGCGTCTTCGTGATTCTGGGTTTGATGAAGATTCTATTCGTCGTCGTGATAAAGCTGCTCTTATCGCTTATATAGCCAAACTTGAAGCTGAGGTTTGCCACTTTTTTTTTAATATAATTAATTTTGTTATTAATATTTTGTCGGTCCAATTTATTAATTTTTTGCTAAGTGCTAGAGTTAGTATTTGAATGTGCTAATTCTGACCCTTTTTTTTTTTGGATTTTTTTTGTAATTTTTGGATCTGGGTTATGTTATATGTTATCAAATGTTTGGTAGGAAGAAGTTCTGATTTTTAATTTAATTATTTACTCGTATTAATTGGTTGAGTAAATTTTGGTATGAGAATCTTGTTACTTGGGTTGCATGCCAACTTTAAAATTGGACATTTTGAATATTTGTGTTTCATAAAACTTTAATGTGTTATCGAGTCCAATTTTCTTCCTCTAGATTATTTCTGGGTTGGTGAGTTTTTGCAAGGTTTATGTTCCGGGTTATGTAGTTATTGTTGAGTGTATGTCGAATAACGAGTTTTTGAGGTAGTATCAACCGAGCCATCCCATTCTTTTAAATTACTTACTCCGTCCCTAAATGATAGGTTGCATTGATTGAAAGCCATTTTTATGAAATTTATAGGAATTTCATAATTATCCGTCTTTTTGGGTATCTTTACCTTGCCACAAGCTAAACTTAACAAACTATCTAATATTAGAAAGTGGAATATTAATTTGTAACTATCTAAATGAAAATTGTGGTCTATTACTTCATTACTTGTTGGGAGGGAATATTTCAATTGAAAAACTATTAAGAAAATTAGATATTACTAATTTCCAATGAAGTCATTTATTAAAAGATTTGACTAGTTAGTAGTTATGCAGCGACATTTGTTAAATACCAATAGTATGAATGAAGATAAATATAGAGAATGTGTTTAGGAGGGAATTTTAGGACAGTAACTATGTTTTATTGGCTCGTATTCTTTTTCTTGAGAATTTGAACTTGTTACACTTGAGTTATTGAGAGGAAACCTAGCGAGATAGACCAGGAGAGAGTAGTTATCCGGCCCATATATCATGAAGCGTAGGCAACATGATCGACTGTTAACTCCAATGATCCAATCTATGATGTTATGAGTTGGAATTGAAAACGCTATAATTTCAATGTGCTAATTTTTTACCATTGTACCTATTGAGAGAAATCATAATTTACACTGTGATGCCAAGTTAAAGGCTTAATCCAATATAGAGTGAATAGCTTGACGAAGAAATTCCTCCTGTTCATTGAAGACTAAAACCATATCTGTGATAAAGGATTGAAAGAGAAATCAATTTAATTAGAGCTTCAAATTAGTAAAGTTGATAAACTGGTGATGCTGATCAGAGGAATATAGGGCATGGTTAGAAGATGACAGCTATATAAGGAACAGGAAACTTATGTGGCTGGTAGCATTCTGTTAAATTTCTGTTTTATTTTATATGTTTAGAAGGCCTGATATGAGCAACTCCATTTAGGTTTATGAGCTTCAACACAACATGGGCCTTCTTATTTTGGAAAAGAAGGATTATGCTTCTAAGCATGACGAAGTTAGATTATCTGCGGATTCAGCTGAAGTAAATCATATGCGCAATCAAGCTGCATTATCATCGGCTTTAGCTGAAGCAAAGAGGCGAGAAGATAACCTCAAGAAGGCATTGGGAGTGGAAAAGGAATGCGTGGCAAATGTAAGTTTGTCACTTCTATTGTTTTCCTGTTTTCCTGTATATACTAATTCATATGCTAAAAAGGCTCTATCATCCTCCCTGCAGATTGAAAAAGCCTTGCATGAAATGCGCACTGAATGTGCTGAAGTGAAGGTTGCAGCAGAGAGTAAAATTGCTGAAGCTCACAGTATGTTTGAAGATGCTCAGAGAAAGTATGCTGAGGCTGAGGCAAAGCTACACTCTGCTGAATCTTTGCGAGATGAAGCAAGACGTAGTGAACGAGCTGCAGGAAGAAAACTTCAGGAGGTTGAATCTCGTGAAGATGATCTTCGCCGTAGAATGGCAGCTTTTAAATCTGAGTAAGGCCTTTTGTTTTTTTAAAAAATTTATTACCATTTTGCCTATAAGTATTACTACACAAATTTACCGTCTTCCCTAAATTCATTTTGGTTCCGCAATATGAATTCCTGTAGGCTATTATTTGGAAAAGAAAGTCGTTCAACTTGAAGTAATGTTTGATAGTATACCTAGTTCTGTATGTGAGGATCTGTCCCAAAGTCCGTGCTTTTTCTGAATGAAAACATTCTGCCATCACTATACCTCCTATCATGATCATCATAATAAAATGTGTTACTTAAAGTCTTGTATCCTAGATTCCTAATTATTTTTTAATTACTCAAAACTAGTGGAGTTTACCTTTAGGAAAATCCAGCGATATTATCTACCTTCTTCATTTTTACTTAATTGTCCTGGTTTCAAATTTAGTATTAAATCAGGTTGGCTGCATTTATGGTTCGTTTATATTCTGTACATTAATGCACAATTCAACTACTATTTTATTGCTACTTGCAACAGATGTTAATATAGAGAGAATACTAAAATAGTAACATTAAATGTAAAACTGTTAAGAAAAGTATATTGTTGGTTCTTGTTTTATGCTAAGTAGGCCTTGAGGTTCAGACCTTTTTTTTCGTGCAAGTATATATATTTAGATTTTTTTTTGTTGGTTTATGAACTGCCTTAAAGGAGCTCCTCTTTTTAAAGGGTGTTCATGAGAGTGTGGCTTGTGTAGGTTTGGGATATACGCTTTTTCCCATACTTTGCCAGCCTTGCCTCTAAACTTTGTTTAGGAAAAAAAAAAGTGTATTATGCTTAAAGTTTACCTGCAATGTACTTCGTATGTACGAGTTAGCTCTTATTCATATCTATAGGGAGTAGCTCATCTTTTGAGCTGTCTTTTGTGGAGAAGCAACTGAAAGTTCTGTCATATTTCTATGCTAGTTGTGATGCCAAGGAGAAAGAAATTATGCATGAAAGGCAATCACTGGTGGAGAGGCAGAAAGTTGTAAGTGAATCACAGAATAAGCTGCTTGATGGTCAAGCTTTGCTAAATCAGAGGGAAGCTGATATCCGTGGTAGGTCCCAAGCACTGAGAAGGACTGAGAAAGAGCTGGAGGATCAGAAAGAGAATATTGCTGCCGAATGGAAGAAATTAATGGAGCAAAAGTCCAGTTTGGAGCTAAATGCAGTTTCCCTTTCTGAACGAGAGAAGGTCATTGCATTTTTTTGACTGTTTGCCTTGTGTTTAATTATACTTGTATTATTGATTTAGTGGGCTATATGTTATTCATAGTTTTCTGTGCTTGCAGGCTGTCATTGAAAAGGAGGTATTATTAAACAAGAAAGAGCAAGATATGCTTATTTCACTAGAAAACCTTGCAAGCAAGGAACAGGTAATTTGCTGTCTTCCTATTGGTTTTGCTGTTGTTGAGATTAGTATGTAAAATTCAACAGTGAGATGCATTTCATCTGATGAGGTTGGTATTTGTATCCTGCAGATTGAAGTCCAAAAACTCATTGCTAAACAGGAGATTGATTTGAGACAAAGAAAGGAGGAATTTGAAGCAGAGTTGGTGGTGAAACAGAAACTGGCTGAAGAAGATATTGAGACAAAAAGGAGGGCCTGGGAGTTGCGTGAGTTGGATCTTAAGCAGCGGGAGGATATTATTTTAGAGAAGGAGCAAGATTTGGAGGTGCAAGCAAGGGTGATAGCTGATAAGGGTAAAGATTTAACGGAGAAGATAAGAGTTCTGGAAGAGAAGGAGAGTATTCTTCACAACTCTGAGAATGAGGTTGAGATAATGAAAAATTCTTTACTAAAAGAGAGGGAAGAGATTGATAATGCAAAGATTGACCTTGAGAAGTCTCTGCTTGATTTAGAAGAGAAGAAAAATCATATAGCTGATGCGGAAAAAAGTTTGGATCTCATGAAGAGTGAATCAAGTGAGCTTCTCATTTTAGAAACAAAACTGAAAGAGGAGATCGATTCAATCAGAGCTCAGAATCTGCAACTTGAGGCTGAAGCTGAGAGATTGAAGGTCGAGAAGGCAAAATTCGAGACGGAGTGGGAGGTTATTGATGAAAAGAGGGAGGAACTTCGAAGGGAAGAAGAACGCATAGCTGGGGAGAGACTGGTGATCTCCAAGTTTCTCAAAGATGAACGTGATAGCCTAAATTTGGAGAAAGAGGCTTTGCGTGAGCAATACAAACGGGATCTAGAATCACTTTCTCTTGATCGAGAAGCATTCCGGTGCGAGAGTCAGCGAGAACGTTCTGAGTGGTTCACCAAATTTCAGCAAGAACGTGCAGATTTCTTGCTGGAGGTTGAATGTCAGAAGAGAGAGTTGGAGGATTGTATCAATAAAAGGCGTGGAGATATTGAAAGCTACTTAAAAGAGAAGGAGAGTGCCTTTGAAGAAGAGAAAAAGAGAGAGCTTCAGTATATTAGGTCTTTGAAGGAAGATCTGATTATGGAACAAGAACGTGTTGCTTTAGCGTTGAAGAAGCTTGAAGCTGAGAAGTTAGAAATCAAATTGGACCGCGAGCAGAGAGACAAGGCTTGGGTAGAGATACAGAGTCTGATTGAAGAGCTTCAGATGCAACGACTTAAACTAAAGGAGCAGAGGGAATTGCTGCATGCAGATAGGGAAGAGATATCTTCTCAGATGGAACAACTTAAGAAACTAGAGGATGTGAAAGTCGATAGTGATAGACTTGTTGTGTCTCCCAGAAAGCAAATCTGTGCAGAGTCAACCCCTGAAGTACGTTTACGCATTCCTTCTATGGAGCCAAATCAGAAAGTCACAGCTGTGGAAGATGGGCAAGATACTGGGGGTGATTCACCACCTAGCTCTACTGTTTCCTGGTTGAAAAAATGTGCTACGTTGATATTCAAACCTTCACCTGACCATGTTCCATTGAAGCACAGGGAATCATCTTTGAACATGGAGTGTGAGGAAAGAAACTCAGGAATTTCAGCAAAAGAATTAATGAGCACTGATGACAAATCACAACAGGGAGTGCCTACAGAAAGTGCAGACCAGACTCCTAGAACTGCTTCAGAAGAGCCAAAAGTGATTCATGAAGTTCCTTCTGTGGATGAAGGTTTAACAGATCTGGAAGCAACAAAAGATGTGCATGAAAGCTCTGTCCCTCCTGCAGCAAGTGCTGGGCGAAAAAGAAGAGTTGATGACTCTGTTCCTGGAAAAAATGCTGTGCTTTTGAATGATGCGAAAGCTAATAAGAAGAGGCGGCAGCATCTTTCTGATGCTCCTGACAGTAATCCTCATTGGTATATGCTCTTTGCCATTTTAGCTACTTTCCCTTTAAAGGAACAGAAATTTTCTTGTAAAACCTACTTTATTTTATAGATTTTGTTTGTTAAATGATAGTTAGATGCTGATTATGTTATAAAATTTTGCCTTCTATATATAGTATGGAATTCAAGCAACCAAGTGCTGTTAATGATCAATTCATCATCAGTTCGTCGACACAATATACAAGTAAAGAGAATGAAGTTGAAGAAGGTGAAAAAAATTCTGAAGTCTCCCCAGAAATGACTGAATCTGGCAAATCTTATCATCACGCCAAGCAAATTGACTGTGATAAATCTGTACTGGTAGAGAATGAAGCATTCAGGTGTGTCATTCAGAAGCAAACTGTGGTACAGGAAGTCCTTATAATGGAGGATGTTGGAGAGGCAAAGCAGGTTCATGAGGTAACTCAAATTTAATTTGTGCAATTTTTGCTCATCATTCATTACTTGAGCAGATAATTGCTTTTTGTGTTCAAGAAATTCACTGCGTATTTGACTATTTGGCATCCATCTGTAGTAGCTTTGAGACATTTGTCTGTATAAAAAAAGCAATGCAATGCCTTCTATTTTCTGTTTCTAGTTGTATTTCTTTAGTGTGGACATTTTTACCTTGCTTTTTGCTACATTGCTTTGTTGGCTATTGAAAAGTAAAACAGAGTAAAAAAGTTACTAATTGCTTGATGGCTTTGGTGCCCTTTGTCATGCAGGAGGAAGATGCTACTGAGATAACAGAGCTTGAGAAGGAGGATCCTTCAAACGCCAAATTAGATAGTTCAGAAATTGTGCCGGAGAGAAGAACAAGGTCAAAGTCCAAGCAGAAATCATGAGCAGTTGGTTCTATCAACTGCTCCTGTGGTTATGCTCAAGTCTTCTGTGTTCTGGATGGCGGCATTTACATGCACAGTATGTGTCTTTTCTTTTCTGGTTCAAATGACTATTCCCTTTGTGTTTACATGCATTTACAAGGTATGATTTTACTCTATGTTATATATCTATTAAATTACAATTTTCGTTGACAGGTTTTAATTTGGAGCATGCTCAATCTAAGGGGTTGGGTGAGCTCTTTTGACCTAGGTCTGCAGTAATCTCGCTTGTGAGTTGACATATACATGTAAATGACTTAGATAATAGTGTGATTCAGGGTGTATTTAGTAGATTCTTGATATGATGTCTCGTATAGAGTGTTGGGACTTGTGTTACCATATGATTGGCAGGGTTGTTCAACCAATCGATTGTCAGAGCGTTTGTGCTGTGTAGTGGTGTGTATCAGGGAGCTTTTTTTTGCTGCCCTGCGGCTATGTTAGCTTCGGAGTATATTATTGGTTTTGGAAATGTTCATAACTAACGGATCATTTTTACTGAATGGTAATTTCAATCAAAATCTTGAGATTTTATGACATCTTCAATTCTTTGATGTCATTGGTTCATTTTAGTGTAGATATCATAAATTTTCACTCTAGCTTACATTTCCTTCCTGTATTTTGTTATCTATTTTTGGCTTTCTTTCGTTTCTATTTTTTAAGACGATTGACAGTTGCTGTATCACTACAAGTCTACAACCGTATACTGTCTAAGAAACTCAAAAGTAGAACCAGAGTTGCTATTTAGAACACTTGCCTAGTACAAAGCTACTACGTGCAGTGGCAAAGAAAATAAATGTCAAGACCAAATATTTTACGTGTAATTGATTGGATAGATTTGTCAATGCCAGCTCGTATGGAAGGTAGGAATTCAGAAAGGAATAGGAGAGGAGGAGAGGGGGTGCTTATGATGCAAGTTAAGTTCACGTTTGGGTAATTTGACTCAACCTGCTAATGTTTTGAGTCCGAGTTGATTCCCGTTTATAGGGTTGAGTTTGACTGAGTTGATCTCAGTCAAGTTTTGATAGAGTAAATCTTGAGTAACCTGCAATTTATCCCATCTGTTTTTTTTTTTTTTTTTTTTTTGTGGTGAGGAAAGGGCTCACTTGGATAGAATCTCTTTTAGGTTTTTTCGGCCCGGGTTATAACACTTTGGAAGTGGGGGAAAAGGCTAAGAGAATTTCCACCTCAAAGTGCCTCTTGTGAGTTAGATCCCACAACCTCATGCTGAGATACAAATATTGCTACTAGAAATTGGGGTTTGAATCAGACTATTAATAAGGTTAAATTACACATAATTTTTCTCACTAGTTTTCTTGTCTCAAAAGTACATCTAAATTTATGCTTTCTCTGGGCACTACTCTGTATTTATGTAAGTTATTTGTCACTTCTTTTTGTTTTGTCAGATTTGTTTAAGTTAATTAATTGAAAATTTGCAAATTGAATCATTTTTTAAAAATTGCAAATTACAGTCCAAAAGTTGTTATAAATCGTAAATTGCAATCTAATTCAAAATTTTCATCGGTTTGCGTGTTGATAAATGTTCGATTAAGGTTTTAGCGGTCGTTTTAGCTCTTAAGGGTCCAAATCAAGTTCGGAATGGGCAAAAAATTAACGTAAATGTCTTGTATTTACAGTAAAATGGCCCCTAAAACCTTAACTGGATATTTTTCGACATGTAAACCGATGAAAAAATTGAATTGAGCTGCAATTTATAAGATTTTTTGGGTTGTAATTTACAATTTTTTTAAATGAATGTTATTTATAAAATACAAACTTTAAATGGCTACGATTGGCAAATTTTCCTTAATTAACTAAGAAAAGTCATAAAATTAAAGTTTTTTATCCTCTCTCACTCTTTATACAAACTTGTAACTCGCTTGCTCTTAGAGCTGTCAATTCGGGTAAACGGGTTAGGTTTGGGTCAGGTAAGAGTGAGTTGGTCAGCTCGGGTCGGGTCAATTCAGATTAATTCCTTAACCTATCCAGGTCAGGTTTGGGTTGGGTCATGCTTCTTATCGGGTTTAGGTCGGGTATAGGTCGGGTTACATTCGGGTCGGGTGAACAATAGGTCAAGTCATATTCGGAGTCCGGTGTCGAAAAGCCTTGAGAATTTAGAAAATAAATCTCAGAGTCATATAATGTCATTTGGAACCATATATGATCATTATATGTTGTCATAAATGTTCGTGGTAGGCTTGACTGCTTGAGTTAATGAAATCGTTGCAAGTTGTAAATCGGTAAATTGGTCGTTTAAAGGCAAATTTGATGGTTCCACCCACCCAATTGGACTCCCGGAAGGTATTAGGGACTAAGGTAAACATTTCGGAAATTTTTATTTCCAGGCGAAAAAAAGTTAAAAAATTCCAAAATTGAAGTCTAATTTTCACGCTTTTTTAGAAATTTTGGAGGTTTCGGGCCCAATGTCGAAAAGTTTAGAAATTTTAGGGATTACGTTTCGGGGTCATATAATGTCGCTTAGAACCATATTTGATCATTATTTGTTGTCATAAATGTTCATTGTAGCAGGCTATGAAATCGATGTAAGTTGTAAACCGGTAACTCGGTTGTTTAAAGGCAAATTGGATGGTTACACCTAGCCAGGTGGACTCCCAGATGGTATTAGGGACCATTGTAAACATTATAGCAATTTTTAAATCCGGGCGAAAAAAAAGTCAAAAAATTCCAAAATTGAAGTCTAATATCCACGCATTTTTGCGAAATTTTGGAGATTTCGGGGCCCGGTGTCGAAAGTCTTGAAATTCTAGAGGATAAATCTCTGGGTCATATAATGCCGTTTGGAACCATATATGATCATTACATGTTGTCATAATTGTTCGTGGTAGGCTTGAGTTAATGAAGTCAATGCAAGTTGTAAATCGGTAAATTGGTTGTTTAAAGGCAAACTGGATGGTTCCACCCACCTAATTGGACTCCCGGAGGGTATTAGGGTCCATGGTTAACATTTAGACAATTTTTATTGTCGGGCGAAAAAAAGTTAAAAAATCCAAGCTTGAAGTCTAATATCCACGCTTTTTGAGAAATTTTGGGGATTTCAGGGCCCGATGTTTCTCTTGAAATTTTAGGAAATACATCTCGGGGTCATATAATGTCATTTAGAACCATATATGATCATTATTTATTGTCATAAGTGTTTGTGGTAGGCTTGAGTTAATGAAATCGGTGCAAGTTGTAAATATGTAAATTGGTCGTTTAAAGGCAAATTGGATGGTTCCACCCATCCAATTGGACTCCCGAGGGGGTATTAGGGTATATGGTTAACATTTCAGGAATTTTAAATTGTAGGCGAAAAAAAAGTGAAAAAATTCCAAAATTAAACACACGCATTTTGCGAAATTTTGGTGGTTTCGGAACCCGGTGTCGAAAAGTCTTAAAGTTCTATGGGATATATCTTGGGGTCATATAATGTCGTTTGGAACCATTTTTAATCATTATATGTTGTCATAAATTTTCATGGTAGGCTTGAGTTAATGAAATCAGTGCAAGTTGTAAACCGGTAAATAGCTATTTAAAGGCAAATTGGATAGTTCAACCCACCCAATTATACTCCCGGAGGATATTAGGGACCATAGTAAAAATTTTGGCAATTTTTATTTCCGAGCGAAAATAATTCAAAAAATTCCAAAATTAAAGGCTAATTATCCACGCTTTTAGAGAAATTTTGGAGGTTTCAGGGCCCAGTGTCGAAAATCCTAGAGATTTTAAGAGATACATTTCAGGGCCATATAATGCCGTTTGGAATCATATTAATCATTATATGTTGTCATAAATGTTCGTGGTAGGCTTGAGTTAATGAAATCGGTGCAGGTTGTAAACCGGTAAATTGGTCTTTTAAAGGCAAATTGGATGGTACCACCCACCCAATTGGACTCTAAGAGGGTATTAGAGACCATGATAAACATTTAGGTAATTTTTATTTGCAGGCGAAAAAAAGTCAAAAAATTCAAAAATTGAAAGCTAATATCCACCTTTTTGAGAAATTTTGGAGTCTTCGGGATCCGGTGCCTAAAAGTCTCGAAATCCTAGGGAATACATCTCAGGGTCATATAATGTCGTTTGGAACCATATGTGATCATTGTTTTTGTCATAAATGTTCGTAGTAGGCTTGAGTTAATGAAATCGGTGCAAGTTGTAAACCGGTAAATTGGTCGTTTAAAGGCAAATTGAATGGTTTCATCCACCCAATTGGACTCCTGGAGGGTATTAGGGATTAGGGTACATTTTGGCAATTTTTATTTCCAAGCGAAAAAAGTCAAAAAATTCCAAAATTGAAGGCTAATTCTACGCTTTTTGAGAAATTTCGAAGGTTTCGGGGTCCGGTGTTGAAAAGAAATGAGATTTTAGGGGATACATCTCGGGGTCATATAATGCCGTTAGAAACCATAAATGACCATTATATGTTTTCATAAATGTTCGTGGTAGGCTTGAGTTAATGAAATTAGTGCAAGTTGTAAACCGGTAAATTGGTCGTTTAAAGACATATGGATGGTTCCACCCAGCCAATTGGACTCCCGAAAGGTATTAAGGACCATGGTAAAAATTTCGGCAATTTTTATTTCTGGACGAAAAAACAGTCAAAAAATTCAAAAAGTTAAGGCTAATATCCACGTTTTTAAAGAAATTTTGGAGGTTTTGGGACCAGGTGTCGAAAAGACGTGAGATTTTAGGGAATACATCTCGGGGTTATATGACGTCGTTTGGAACCATATATGATAATTATATGTTGTCATAAATGTTCGTGGTAGGCTTGAGTTAATGAAATCGGTGCAAGTTATAAATCGGTAAATTGGACGTTTAAAGGCAAATTGTATGGTTCCACCCACCCAATTGGACTACCAGAGGGTATTAGGGACCATGTTAAACATTTCGCCAATTTTTATTTTCAGGCGAAAAAGTCAAAAAATTCCAAAATTGAAGGTTAATATCCACGTTTTTTGAGAAATTTTTTAGGTTTCGGGGCCGATGTCGAAAAGCTTTGATATTTTAGAGAATACATCTCAGGGTCATATAATAGTGTTTTAAACCACAAATGATCATTATATGCTGTCAAAAATGTTCGTGGTACGCTTGAGTTAATGAAATCGGTGCAACTTATAAACCGGTAAATTCGCCATTTAAAGGCAAATTGGATGGTTCCACCCACCTAATTAGACTCCCAGAGGGTATTAGGGACCATGGTAAAAATTTCGGCAATTTTTATTTATAAGCTAAAAAAGTTTTTTAAAAATCCAAAATTTAAGGCTGAAATTTTAGAGGTTTTGAGGTCCGGTGTCGAAAATCCTTGAGATTTTAGGGAATAATCTAGTGGTTATATAATGTCGTTTTGAACCACACATGATCATTATATGTTGTCATAAATGTTCGTGTTAGACTTGAGTTAAGGAAATTGGTGCAATTTGTAAACTAGTCAATTGATCGTTTATAGGCAAATTGGATGGTTCCACCCAGCTAATTGAATTATCGGAGGGTATTAGGGACCGTGGTAAACATTTCGGCGAAAGAAAGTCAAAAAATTCCAAAATTGAAGGCTAATATCCACGTTTTTTGAGAAATTTAGGATGTTTCGAGGCCCGGTGTCGAAAAGGTTTGCGATGTTGGGAATAAATCTCGGGGTCATATATATATGCCGTTTGGAACCATATATGATCATTATATGTTGTCATAAATGTTTGTGGTAACCTTGAGTTAATTAAATCGGTGCAAGATGTAAATCGGTTAATTGGTCGTTTAAAGGCAAATTGGATGATTCCACCCACTTAATATGACTCCCGGAGGTTATTAGAGACCATTGTAAACATTTCGGAAATTTTTATTTACAGGCGAAAAAAAGTCGTAAAATTCCAAACTTAAATGCTAATGTCCACGCTTTATTAAAATTTTTGGAGGTTTCGGAGCCTGGAGTCGAAAAGCCTTGATATTTTTGGGGATACATCTCAGAGTCATATAATGTCGTTTGGAACCATATATGATCATTATATGTTGTAATAAATGTTTGTAGTAGGCTTGAGTTAATGAAATCGGTGCAAATTGTAAACCGGTAAATTGACCGTTTAAGGCAAGTTGGATGGTTCCACCCACCCAATTGGAATCTCGATGGATACTAGGGAACATGGTAAACATTTCGAAACTTTTTATTTCAAGGTGAAAAAAATTCAAAAAAAATTCCAAAATTGAAGACTAATCCACGCATTTTGCGAAATTGTGAAGGTTTCAGGGCTTGGTGTTGAAAACTCTTAAAATTCTAGGGAATAAATCTCGGGGTCATATAATGTCGTTTGGAACCATATAAGATCATTATAAGATGTCATCAATGTTCGTGGTAGGCTTGAGTTAATGAAATCGGTGTAAGATATAAATCGGTAAATTGGCCGTTTAAAGGCAAGTTGGATGGTTCCACCCACCCAATTGGAATCCCGAAGGGTATTAGGGACTATGGTAAACATTTTGACAATTTTTATTTTCGAGCCAAAAAAAAGTCGAAAAATTCAAAAATTAAAGACTAATATCCACGCATTTTGCGAAATTTTGAAGGTTTCGGGGCTTAGTGTTGAAAAGTCTTGAAACTATATGGAATACACCTTGGGTCCATATATAATGCCATTTAGAACCATATATGATCATTTTATGTTGTCAATTTGTCATCAATGTTCGTGGTAGGCTTGAGTTAATGAAATCGGTGCAAGTTGTAAACCGGTATATTGGCCATTTAATGGAAAATTGGATGGTTCCACCAAGCCAATTGAACTTCCGGAGGGTATAAGGGACCATGGTAAAAATTTTGGCAATTTTTATTTGTGGGCGAAAAAAGTCAAAAAATAAATAAAATTATAGACTAATATCCACGCATTTTGCGAAATTTTGAAGGTTTCGGAGCTCAGGGTCGAAAAGTCTTGAAATTTTAGGAAATACATCTCGAGGTCATATAATGCCGTTTGGAACCATATATGATCATTATATGTTGTCATTAATGTTCGTGGTAGGCTTGAATTAATGAAATCTGTGCAAGTTGTAAACCGGTAAATTGGCTTTTTAAAGGCAAATTAGATGGTTTCACCCACCCAATTGGACTCCCGGAGGGTATTAGAGACCATGATAAACATTTCGACATTTTGCCGGCGAAAAAAGTCATAAAATTCAAAATATAAAAGCTAATATCAACGCTTTTTGAGAAATTTTTGAGGTTTCGGGGCCCGTTGTCGAAAAGCCTTGAGATTTTAGGGGATATATCTCAGGGTCATATAATGCCGTTTGGAACCATAAATAATTATTAAATGTTGTCATAAATGTTCGTGGCAGGCTTGAATTAATGAAATCGGTGAGAGTTGTAAATCGGTAAATAGGTCGTTTAAAGTCAAATTGGATAGTTCCACCTACCCAATTGGACTCTCAGTGGGTATTAGGGACTTGGGTAAACATTTCGATAATTTTTATTTCCAGGCGAAAAAAAAGTCAAAAAATTCAAAAATTGAAGGCTAATTATCAACGCTTTTTGAGAAATTTTGGAGTTTTCGAGGCCGGTGTCTAAAAGTTTTGTAATTATAGAGAGTACATCTCAGGGTCATATAATGTCGTTTGGAACCATATATGATCATTATTTTTTGTCATAAATATTCGTGGTAGGCTTGAGTTAATGAAATCAGTGCAGGTTGTAAATCGGTAAATTGGTCGTTTAAAGGCAAATTGGATGGTTCCACCAAGCCAATTGAACTCCCTGAGGGTATTAGGGACTATGGTAAACATTTTGGCAATTTTTATTTCCTAGAGAAATAAAGTAAAAAAATTCCAAAATTAAAGACTAATGTCCACGCATTTTGCGAAATTTTGAAGGTTTTGGGGCTCGATGTTGAAAATTCTTCAAGCTATAGGGAATACATCTCGGGGTCATATAGTACTATTTGGATCCATATGGGATCATTATATATTGTCATAAATGTTTGTGGTAGGCTTGAGTTAATGAAATCGGTGCAAGTAGTAAACTGATAAATTGGTCGTTTAAAGGCAAATTGGATGGTTTCACCCAGACAATTGGACTCCCGGAGGGTATTAGGGACCATGGTAAACATTTCGGCAATTTTTATTTTCGGGTAAAAATCAAAAAATTCCAAAATTGAAGGCTAATATCCACGCTTTTTGAGAAACTTTGGAGGTTTTGGGTAGAGATGTCAATTCAGGTAAACGGTTTGGGTTTAGGTCGGTAATAGTAAGTCGGGTCAATTCAGATTAATTCCATAACCTATGCGGGTCGGGTTTGGGTTGTGTCATGCTTTAGTCGGGTCACATTAGGTCATACTTCTTTTCGGGTTTGGGTCAGGTTTAGGTCGGTTATATTCAGGTCGGGTGCACAATAGGTCAGGTTTAATTCGGGCTTTCACGGGTTAAAACGGTTTAGGGTAATTCTCGGGTTCGATTCGGGTTCGGTTCAAGTCAATAATTTGTGAGTTAGAATTAGGTCGGGTCATTCTTGGGTTTGAGTTGGGTTTGGTTCAAGTCAATAATTTGCGGGTTATAATCAAGTCGAGTCATTTTCAAGTCGGGTCATTCTCGGGTTCAAGTCGGGTTTGGTTCAAGTCAATAGTGGGTTATAATCAGGTTGGGTCATTTCCAAGTCGGGTCATTCTCGGATTCAATTCGGGTTATGTTCAAATCAATAATTTGCAGGTTACAATCAGGTCGGGTCATTTCCAAATCAGGTTATATTTGGGTTCAACTAACTATAAATAGATAATTATCATTTTTATCAATCTAATTATTCCCTTTGACTATAATATATATATATATATATATATATATATATATATATATATATATATACTAGGGAACTATAGTCTATAATTTAGGAAGCTAATTATCTCCTTTGACAATACAACAAATATATACTATATTTAATTCTTAAATTTGAGGATGATGCTTCTTTCTTTTGCTGGCTTGGACCTACTTGGTCTCTCTAGACAAAATGCTTTGATCAACAATAATAAGGTGGTCTAAATTGCATTTAAGGTGATTTGAATTCGGGTCAGGAACAATTTCAGTTGAATTTAGATCGGGTCAATAATAGGTCGTGTTGATTTCGAGTCGGGTTAGTAACAGATCGGGTTGAATTTTTTGGTCAGGTTAGTAATAGGTCTGGTAAAATTCGGGTCGGGTCAATAACAAGTCAGGTTGAATTTGGGTCAAGTTAATAAGAAGTCGGGTTGATTTCGGGTCGGGTTTTAAATAGGTTGGGTTAAATTCGGGTCGGGTTGAATTTAGGTCAGGTTTGTAACAAGTCGGGTTAAATTTAGGTTTTGACGGGTTAAAACGGGTTTGGGTCAATTTTGGTTCAAGTTTGGTTCTGTTCAGGTCAATAATTTACAGGTTAAATTCGGGTCAGGTAATCTCCAGGTCAGTTCATGTTCGGGTTTGGGTCTCACATACTCGGGTCTACGGATGGCTTCAGGTCGGGTCAGGTCGGGTTTTGGTCACCATTTTTTCAGGTTCAGATGGTTCGGTTAATAATCGGGTTTGAGTCGGTATTTCAGGTCGGGTCAACTTTTAACAACTCTACTTGCTCCCTTTGTCTAGTACATCTTAGTGATCTTACACAAGTTTGTCACGCTTCTTTTAAAAAAAACCAACTTTGCTCTATGGGGCATTACGGAGGGGGCCCATTTTATCAACTTGATCAACTGACAAAATTGTAAAAACAAAAATATCCTAGTAATATGACATTTTCGTAAATATATTAGCAAATTGTGACTTTGTGATACCCATATTAAATACAAAGTTGTGTTATTTATAGTTTTGCTATTTTTGTTTTGAAGGTGATAAACTTGTACTTTCTCACGCAATAGAGGAATATTTAATAGCACCCTGTATAATCAAATTTTATGTTTTAATCATAAAAGTCAAATATGTTATGGATAGAGATACTTATGATTATCATTTTGTCAAACATGACTAGGCATTATCTAAAATTAGGCAATCCACCTAATTCGATAACAATTTATGGTATTTTAATTACTCCATTTATCCTAAACTTTACCAATTTCATTAACTATACAATGTTGTCCACTAAACAATACTCCGTACAATACTTAATTACTTACATAGAGTATAATACGAGTTGACCAAACAATACTTACGGCGTATAATACGAATATATACCAAACGTTGCTATACTTATGCAAGTACCTGCGTATGCGCTGATCTAATCACAAATTCACAAGAACATATAGTTAAATAATGTCTGAATGACCTCAATATACATACGTAATCTTGAGGTTAAGCTTAAGCATAAGAGAGTAGGTGATTCATATTTCATGCCATAAAAACCAAGGGTTTATGCAAATTTGGGCGAACATAGTTACCGTACTTATAAAAGGGGGCGCCAACACCGGAGTCGGAAACCCAGAAACTAAGCTCAAGAGAGAGAAAAATGGAGTCCATTTTCGCCCCCACCTTGACTCAAGCCACCTTTCTCTCTCCTCTTTCGCCGCCATCGAACGACGTTTCTAGCATCCCTAATCTCTCTCATTTCTCCTTCTCCGCTAGAAACTTCGCCGCTCCTTTCTCTCTCAAGGTTTCTCTACTTTCTCTCTCTTCAATTTCATTTCAATTGATTTTTTTTTTTTGATGTTTTTTCGATTTGTTTTGTGTTAATTTGATGGAATAGTACCGTGCTCTGATTTTCATTTTTTTTTGGTGTAATTTGTGTGAAATTTGAGGTTTTAATAATTGATTATTACAAGTAAAATGATGTAGTACGATTTTTAATTTTCATCAATTTTTTGGTGTTGAATTTGTTGAACAGGTTCAGAAGCAATTAGCTATTGCTCATAGCAATGGTCGAGCGATTAATTCGGCGAAATGCAATGCTACATTGTCAGATACTCTTAGGTATACCTTCGTTTTTTTTTTATATTTGTAGTTTTGCTTTGAGAAAACAGATAATTTGTACTTAATTAGGAAAATGAGGTTGTTTAGTAAAGTTTATAATTTGGAGTGAGAAAGTTACTTTTCTGCTGGAACTTTTGTGATTATTTTATACTATGTGGAATCGTAGTTATGATACTTTATTTTTCGTCGAATTTTGTTAATGACATGTGATGTTATAAATTATTAATCCTTTGGAATTTTCATTTTTTTTTGAAATTAAAGGAGGGAGAGAAGAGAGGGAGGGGGATGGAATATATTAAAGAAAAATTGAAAGGAATTTTTATTATCGTCGGAGATTTGGAGGCTATCTACATAGGGATGTCAACGGGGCGGGGCGGGGCGGATTTTGGCATTCCCATCCCCATCCCCGCCTCACATTTTCATCCCCATCCCCATCCCCATCCCCATGTCGGGTCTGAAAATAATCCCCGTCCCCGCCCCGGCGGGTCCAACTCTAAAACCACCCCCGCCCCATCCCCGTCCCCGCCCCATACCCGCCAAACCCCCACCCCATACCCGCCAAACCCCCGCCCCATCCCCGCCAATTCCCCGCCCCATACCCGCCAACTAAGTATTGAGAAAAGCAACTGTCTTTCAAGTTTCAAGTGTCAACTGAAACCCTGCAGACTCCATAGTAGACTAATGAAAAAGTAGCAGTGCATACAAATCCCATTAACTCAAATCCAACAAAAACCACTGCAAGATCAACCATTTTAAAAATAACCATTTTAAAAAAAAAAACACTAACTCCAAATTGTCCAAAGTCCAAATATTAAAAATAACTACAAGTCTACAAATATTCAAATACATAACAAGAAATTCATTAGGCCTTGAATTATTCGGTGCAAAGTCCACTTGTTCCAGAATCGATATCACATGTTTCAAATCCTTCCTCTAATTCTCCCACTAATTTAGCATATTCATCATCCTTAAATTCTCCACAATCTGCAAATACAATGTGAATTAATTAAAATAAATAAATAAATAATATTATTAATCAAATAAAATTTTAGCTATTTACTTTTAGAAGCAGCCCATATCCAATTTTGAGTACACATCAAAGCTTCTACAGCTTCCGGTAAAAGCCGACTACGATAAGGATTAAGAACCCGACCACTTGTGCTAAATGCGGACTCTGATGCAACAGTAGAAACAGGAATGCTCAATATATCTCGTGCTATTTGCTGAAGAATGGGATATGTGCCTCCATTTGTCTTCCACCAGTTAAGAATATCAAAATCTTGGACTAGAGGCACATTAGCAGCATCTAAATACTTATCCAAATCTGATATATCATGACTTGAGTCCTTATCTTGTTGTAAAAATTCAGCAAATTCTTGCATAAAGGTCTCTTCATTGGATTTGCTACTACTACCCAAATCAAAATCTTGTTGGTTGCTACTACCTTGAGTTTTACCCATCTTAGACCCATATTCATCAACCAATCTTCGTAGAAGATCACTAATTCTACGAACCTCAATTTCAAAGTCATGCTCATCAAAAATTTTTGCAAAATAAAAGCGAATAAGAGCCATTTTGTATCTAGGATCTAGTATTGTTGCCACTCCCATTAAGCCATTCACACTAGCCCAATACTTGTTATATTTTTGTAACATAATGTCGGCCATTTTCCTTACATAATCATGAGGAGATAAAAGCCAACCAGAAATAGCAATTCTCAAAGCACAAATTTTAGGAAAATAAAGATTGGCCGTAGGGTAATTTGTTCCTGAAAAACTAAGGGTAGTTTTACTAAACACTTCCAAATGTTCACATATTTTCTCAACTTTTTCCCAATCTTCAGGGGTCGGTGGATTCTTATATAAATTATTACGAGCACTTAAAACAACAAACACTTCTTTATAACTAGTAGCAATAGAAAGCATTTCATAAGTAGAATTCCACCGGGTTTTGCAATCAAGTGCTAACTTTCTACTACACTCAGGAGTTATTTGCTTAGCCACTTGTTCAAACCTTTGTACTCTCTTATCAGAAGCAGTCCAAAACACAACACTATCCCTAATTCTTTGAACACCATTTGATACCACAGCACTTAAACCATCTTGAACAATCAAATTTAATATGTGAGCACAACAACGCATATGAAAAAAATCACCTCGCAATAAAAGTGAGCCATATGGAAACACTCCTTTCAAAATTTCCATCATTGCATCATTAGTTGAACAATTATCCACGGTTATAGAAGACAACCTAAGATCAAGATTCCATGATTGAATGCTTTCTTTCAAAGCATCAGCAAGAACCTCAGCAGTATGAGGGGCGGGGACATATAAAAACCTACCAAAACCAATGAAAATAACATATATTATTTGTCTATTCAATACTATTGTGGATATATGGGCTCATTATTATCATCCATCATCACAACTTATAATTCTTATGATTTTAAAATTCACACAAAAAACTATAGCAATACAAAGACAACCAAAAAAAAATAAACAAGTTATAAGTAACCAGAAAACAATACCTTATGATCCGACTTTGCAACTTCCATGTATTATCAATAAAATGTGAGGTGACCGCCATATAACCTTTTCTCTGGTTGTCAGCTGTCCACATGTCAGTAGTTAAGGCAATCTTACCCTTTGCTTTCCTCAACAAGGTTGCAACATTCTCCTTCTCAAGCTCATATCTTTTCATAATATCTTTTCTAGTTGTGTTGCGAGACGGCACTTTAAATCCAGGTTGGAGTGTGTTGCTATATTTTCTAAAACCAATATGCTCAACCATGCTAATTGGATACTCATGCAAAATAATCATCTCTGCCAAGTCTCTTCTTCCATCTTCTTGGTGGAATTCGTAAGGAGCCAATGTCATCGTGTCATTCTTATCATTCAAGTTTTTTTTTGTACCAAACATTCTTGTTTGTCGAAGATCTTGACATACTCTCTTTGGACATATTTTTATATGATCTTTCAAATGAGTAGTTCCTGCTTTTGACCCACCAGCAAGTAGCTTGGAGCAATGGTTGCACTCAGCTTTTATCACATCCCCAACTCTCTTTCTCTTAAAATCAGACCACACTGCCGAAGTATGCCTACTAGTAATTGGTAGGAGAGAAGGATCGGAATTAGTCTCTAGAGGACTTTCATCATCATCTATTGCAATTGGAGTATTACTAGCGGAAGTGGGAACACTAGCGTTATTTGACATCTCAGACAAATTCTCCCCTGTAAAAATTAAATAAAGACAATTAATGCACTAGACATATTGACTACAGTATTGAACACATTTGACATCTCAGAAATTATCCACCCTTGAACACAACACTTGGCCCTCTCTAAGGTATCCAACGTCATTAGTGTAGTATCAAGAGACTTATTTTGTGATCACTCATCATTTGTTCAACAGCATATATAATTAATACTTCAAATTTTGTTTTGTAATCCAAACAACAGTAACATTCCAAACAAAGATTGTGGCATTGCACCAACATATTACATGTACGTACACACCATCAAACTAGTGATGGATCACTAATTAAACTGTTGCTGTTTTGCTACTCATATATACTCGATCCCTGGCCTTCTAAATAAGTCCCTTGACACAATTAAACCAATAATGAAGCAAATCATATGAACTTAGCTTACAATCACAACAACACCACACAAATGCAACAATTAGGAGTGTTTCAAGAATGAACCAAACCAAATTACAAATTAAAGTCACACCGAACAGAAATCAACGGCAACAAATGTTCTAATTTATAGCAAAGTACTAATGTAAAATTGTTAGAATGGTAATTTAAGGAGGTGTATATGAGCAATATGGCAATTGAAAAAAAAAAGTTCAATAATTGCATTAGATTGAAAGTATCATACAAATATAACACGAAACCCTAGCTCAATCAAATGAAATATTGAAAACCGCAATCGAACAAATCATAAATAAAAGACGATTCACATACTTTCAATCGAAAACCCAATTAAGAAATTCTTAATTGAACATATTGAATTAAGAAAACTCAAAGATAATAATGCGAAAACGTTTACCTAAATTGAATGAGTTGCAGCCTTGCAAGATCGAGGTTGAAGAAGAAGGATCGAAGAGATTTGATTGCAGACGAGGACCACGAGGTTGAAGAAGAAGGATCGAAGAGATTTGATTGCAGACGAGGACCACGAGGTTGAAGAAGAAGGATCGAAGAGATTTGATTGCAGACGAGGACCACGAGGTTGAAGAAGAAGGATCGAAGAGATTTGATTGCAGACGAGGACCACGAGGTTGAAGAAGAAGGATCGAAGAGAGGGGTTTGAGGCTTGAGGAATGAGGCAGTGAGAGGAGAGAGTGAGGCAGTGAGGCTAGGGTTTTTGTTTTGAGAAGAAGGTAAGTGGGTTTCGTGTCTTATGCGGGTATGGGGTGGGTATAAAGCGGGTATGGGTCGGGTATGGAGTGGGTCAGGCGGGGCGGGGCGGGTACGGGGTGGGTCAGGCGGGGCAGGGCGGGGCGGGTATGGGGCGGGTCTGGGCGGGGCGGGTATTACATAACAACCATCCCCGCCCCATCACCCATGGCGGGTATGGATTTTAGACCCATCCCCGCCCCGCGACCCGCCAAAGCTAGACCCATCCCCGCCCCATCGGGGCGGGGATGGGGCGGGTCTCCTACTAGACCCGCCCCAGTGACATCCCTATATCTACATCTCTAGACTTCAACTGGCACTTTTAGTGCGCCTCGTGCCTTTTGAAACAATGCACCAAGTTTGGGGAATGATTAATTGTACTAATGTAGGGTGCCTTATATTTTCCGAGAAGCCTTCTTTTATAATTTACAAGCATAGATTATATTGCACCTTGTACTTATTCCAAATCAACAACGTGAGTGTTTTATCTTAAGAATTGACTATGTGAGTGTGGACTGTGCGGTATTGTTTCTTTGTGCTGGTCTGCTGGATGATATGCGTATTGACAATAGTTTTTCCTTTTGGGCTAAATGACAGAGAGAGTGAGATATGAAGACTCAGTTTTTTTTTTTCTTTTTTTTGCCCATAAATGGAGGTTCTCTAAACAATACAAGTATATAAGTATACTTAAACTGAAAGCTAGAACTTCTACTAGCCACTTTTTACTCTTCTCTTATACAAGCAATTACTTGATGAATTTATAGTTTAGACAGTAACATTGATGATGATTGCCATGCATTAGTTTCGTTATACTAATCTTCATCACCTATGCAGCCAAACATCCCCATTAGCCGACATTGATTGGGACAACCTTGGATTTGGATTTTTGCCTACTGATTACATGTATGTTATGAAATGTGCTCGAGGTGAAAGCTTCTCAAAAGGTGAATTAAAGCGATATGGAAACATAGAAATGAGCCCTGCTGCTGGTATCTTAAATTATGGGCAGGTGGGTATTATTAACCCATTGCAATCTGTACTACGTTGCTATACAAGAATAAGGTTGTGTGTGCTATATTGTATGTTGATCTACCTTAAATTATGTCCCCGAACATTTGGAAATGAATTCTTATTGACTGAAGTCATTTGAATTTATTGATTGTAAAAATTTGACTATGCTGGTTTTATTTTTTCTATGAGCTTATAATTGATCATACCTGGCTGAAGATACAATTTGCAAGAAAGACACTAGTTGTGTGTGATCAGCTTAAGGATCAGTGGTGGTACGGTAACTTGTGAAGTACATTTTCAAGGCTATAACATTGGGGGTTTGAATGTTTGTCTTCTTCAACTGGTGTAGGCTTTGTTAGTAATTTTATAATGTCTATTTTCATTGAGTTCCATACCTAATGGTGCTTGAATACTTTGATATGTTGTTCTTTTTATGAACTTTAAGATTCTTTTAAATAGTATTAATTCTAATTAGCTTTGCTGGTTTTGGTCTAGTAAATTATAAGCAAGTGAAGACTGGTGTTTAACTAGCCAATTAGGGTTGTAGTACCTCCCATTGGCTTATATGATGATTTTAATTTGTCTTTGCTGTTGTGGGGTTCCTAGGAGTTTAGGACCATTGTTGTGTAGTGGGATAGGAATGCTGTTATTTTGGTGAAGGCTCATTGTTTATTATTCCAGGTTCCTCTTTATTTTGTTGAGGATGGGTGGTTGGTGAGGTTCCTTTTCTAATAGGCCTGCTTAAACCTCTCAATGATTCTTTTTTAAGTTTAATTGTTACTTATAGTAGAACTGGGATATGTGAGAGTGGTTTTTGTGCGGCCCATATTGGATTATTGCTGTAGTTTTTGTCTTTTTGTTTTAAATGCTTTGATTCATTTATCCATGATTGTGGACATCTGGTATACATGTTTATGTTGCTAGCTTGGTGTTGACTAATTTGTAACTTTTTGGTTTTTTTATTTTCCTAGTATATGAGGACTTTCTTAGGGACCGCTTGATATCATTTTGCAGATTTAGTTTTTTGTTATTCAATAACAGAAAAAAAGAATTTAGTTTTAAATTTTCAAAATTTTCACAACAAATTTTCAGATTTCCTTCAAATATGGAGAATGTATCATTTGTGCTTTCTGCTTTGTATGCTATAATTGTACTCAAATCAACGGCATTGACAATTATAGACATTTTAAAGTAATTGTTGTAGGAGCACCCTACCGTGAGATAAAAATTATCGCTGGCACTATTTATCTACTTTTGTTTGGCATGACAACTCTAATTGTATATTCTAATCTACTGCAAATACTCTTAACTTTCTAATCGGATAAAACATATTTATATAGTAAATTCAAAGAAGCATACAACCTAGAGATACTTTCATGTATAGATATTTACCTCTTGAAGGATTAAATGAAATTGACACCAAAATGTATCCACCGAGAAAATCAGCTGTAGTAGACCTGAAACAAGAGAGAGAGAGATAAAAAGAACTACAATCAAACAACTACAATTAAATAATCAGGGAAGTTGTATATTTTTGAGGAACTTGAAGTTTGTTTTTAAGAAGCCGATGTTATGGATGAGGTATATACAAATTAAGTCTTTTTTTTTAGATTATTTGTTTGGAGGAAGGACTGATTGTTAGAGCTGTTGGACAGGAAACAAGGCTTTAGTATGACTTCTTTAAGTAATTTTAATCTTAAAGTAGAAAGTATGAATCAGAAAATGAAAATTTTCAGAATTTGACATTAAAGTAAAAGAGTATGAATAGGATTCTTAGCTCTGTGGTGTTTGCTAGGAGGATCTTTAGGAAAGAGGCAGAGCATCCAAGGGTACATGGTTAGTGATCAAGATACCATTTTGGTGAGATTTCTTCTTTTCAAGGGTGTGTCTTAAGTGAGGCTTTTGGGGGATATTATCATTCCCTCTATTATTTTTGGGCCTATTGTTCTTTACAATTCTCACATTAGTATTGTTTGTGTTATTAAGACTAAGTCTACTTATACTTAGACCTCCCATGATGTTGATACACTTAATATTTAGTAGTTGTTGTCTTCTATACTATGCATGAAATAGTGATCAAGCTCTATTATATAGGCCTGATAGGGTTTAGGGATCTTTCTCCTGTCTTCTTGATAAATGTTTAAAAAGGCCCGCCAAGGCGCAAGGCGTTAGGGGTCATGCACTTATTTTGGTCTAGGCGAGACAATTTTGATGAGGCACATATAGGCGTGCCTAGGCGCACTATGGGGCAGCTTAGCGCTCTCCCCAAGGCACATAGTTTTTTTCAGAATTTTTTTTATTGTTTATTATATGCATTTCATTTCAATGAGGTGCACCTTAGGTGCAAGGAACTCTGAAATGCCTTGTGCGGCTTTAGCCTTTTTATACATTGGTCTTGATGGGCTAGAGGTTTTGCTGAACAGAGAAAGTTTGGGATGCTAGCTTGGTAGCTACCAGGTAGCTGATAAGGCTAGATAAAGTAGGCTAGAAGACGTTCTATGTAGTTTGGAATCTGTGACAGCTTATGACATTAGTTTTTCAATTTGTATGGATACGGTGATGGAGCTCTTTGCTGGTAGAGTTAGCAAATTTAAGGTTGCTTGTTACAATCTTTCTTTTGGGTCATGGTGGATGTGCGATCTTGAAAATGGTTAGGGAAGTGTTTGAAAAAGTGCCCAAGGCACTGTGGCGCCGGGGGGTAAGAGATTAACTTGTTCTCGGCAAGGCGTTTGTGTTTAGGCTCAGGTTAGGCACGTGAGGCGCAGCAAAAGCGCTTGAGCTGCACCCAAGGTGCATCTGAAGTTAACTTCTGCCATTAAAAAAAAAAAAAAAAAAAAAAAAAAAAATTTGAGGCGCACTTGTTCATATATTACGCCTCACTTCAAAAAGGTTCTCCGAGGCACGCCTAGGCACAGCAGAACCCATCTTGCTTTACCGTGCCTTGAGCTTTTTTATACATTGGGTTAGTGATAGTTTTCTTTCTCTCTTCCTTTTCACTTTAAATGCAATTCCATTGAATCTTAAGATATTTAAGAGTGAAGGAAGCTTAAGTTTTGGTTTTCAAGCTCTGTACTTTTTTATTATATTCATTGCATCATTCTCAACAGTCTCAAGTTTTAACAAACTTGCCACCTGAGCTACCTTTTATGTAACACACCTTCGTGAGCCTTTCCTTAATTACCCTTGGGAGTATGTTGGAAACACGTAGTCACGTCTTGCATATGTGATTGTGATTGGAGGCCTTGGACAAGTCATCACATCAAGCCTTAGCTTTATAGTAAATATTATTGTTCATCTAGATACCTTTTTGCTGTCTCCAGTCTTTCTTGACTTGACTTGACTTCAACTGATGTTCAGCATGACTGGGTTTTATTTCCTCAGTTTTTTTTAGAAATATATAATCCTTTGTGATCCCTTGGCTTTTATACATTGAAATTTCGTCAGTTAACCAGCAAAATTCCCAAAGTTTAAAGTCTTCTTTTTCTTTTTTTGGCTATGCGCCTTGACAAAGCTCCACCCTCAGATTTATCTTGGCCTAATTTTATTTTTTCCTTGGGATGTCTTTTAGATGTTAATTGTATGTAACTACTACTTCTATTAACAAATGTTGAAGCAATAACAATAAGCAGGAAATCAGAACTAGGGAAGAAGGAGGCTGATTGATTAATAAAGGTAAACTTTCTTACAAGGGTGGCTTGAGGCCACTGCTCTCTTAAGGTGGCTTTAGGTCACCAATCTCTTGATTCTAATACATCCAACAAGCTACCCAAGCCAAGTCCTTCTACCCCCTTTTTATATGTACAAGCAGCCAAAAAGAACAACAGACAAAAGCTGTCATAGATACGCCCACCCTTCTCACAATGCATCACTCAATTGTTGCGGCACTGAATTTGATGCTGCTCCATTACCTCTCCTCTTAACGGCTCCTGGTATCCTTTCCTGCTCCTCCTGGTATATGTAATGATGCCACGAGGCTGAGTATAATTTGTTACATTGTAGCATGATTGTCTCTAGCTTCCTTTCCTAAGATTTAACTCTTTCTTGTTTGTTATCAATCTTATCATGCCCTGCTGATATTTCAGAAGAGATTAAATTCAATCTTGATAAATCAGTCTCTCTTATTAGCCTCTTGAAATTGAGACTTGCTCAATCATCATACCACAAGCCACAAGGTGTCTTACTGTCTATATGTGGCTGATGTTTTTCTTTGATAGTATTGCCACCTTGTTTATTGGTTTTGTTATGTGATTTATGTGACCAGATGTTATGTTTTTTTATGACTTCACTTTTTGATACCTTGTATGCTCCTAAGTATTACATGTCTTCAGGGACTATTTGAAGGCTTAAAAGCTTACAGAACACAAGATGGTAATATTGTGCTTTTTCGTCCGGAAGAGAACGCGTTGCGGATGAGAGCTGGTGCAGAGAGGATGTGCATGGCTGCACCAACTGTTGAACAATTTCTGGAAGCTGTTAAAGAAATAGTTTTGGCAAATGAACGTTGGGTACTCCGCAGTTATTCTTTCTGTTACAAATCATGTGCTTGTACTATCATAGTTCAATTGTTCGATCTATTTATTCATTACCTTTAGCAAATTTTCTGGTATGTCTAATTTCAGATCCCCCCTACTGGTAAAGGTTCTTTATACATTAGGCCATTACTCATGGGTAGTGGTTCAGTTCTAGGGATTGCACCAGCCCCTGAATACACCTTTCTGATCTATGCATCACCTGTTGGTAACTACTTTAAGGTTAGTTGGTGATTCCCCATTTCCTAGAATTCATTTTTACCTGTATTGCTTACAGCATTCTATTTCTCACATGTTAGCCTTATATATCAGGAAGGCCTTGCACCCATAAATTTGGTGATTGAGACTGATTTTCACCGTGCTAGTCCTGGTGGAACTGGAGGAGTCAAAACTATTGGGAACTACGCAGCGGTAATACTGCTTTTTTTTTTTTTTTTTTTTCCTCTCACGCCTTCCCTCCCCAACACTCCAGTTAATTAATCCCCATGATTTATTGACATGACAAGATCTGGACTATTTGGAATTTTGGATAATTTTGTTGATTTTTTATAAGGGATGTGATATAGTCTTTTCAAATTTATAAAGTAATTGATTGATGAGCCTTCAGCAGCATTATATTCTGTCACTGATGCGTCTACTTTATGTACATTTCTTTGTAACTTGCAGGACTTAGAATGCTTACCAGTTAGATGGGCTAATCTGCTCCTGACGTGATATTGATTAATTTATTTTTCAATCACTTACCATTTGTAGCTATATTAACAGGTTCTGAAGGCTCATACTGCTGCTAAAGCCCAAGGTTATTCTGATGTACTATACCTGGACTGTGTACACAAAAAATACCTGGAGGAGGTGTCGTCTTGTAATGTATTTGTTGTGAAGGTATGCAGTCTGGAATACGTATGCTATTTTTGTTTTTTTTTTGGTTTTATCCTTTGTTCTTTTTGGAATGTTATTTTTTCTTTCCTATTTTTTTTTTTTTTTTTCTTAAAAGCTACCCTTGACTCCATTGGCTCCATCGTTTATGTGTGGAAAGTAGAACAAAACAAATGGAGAGAGTATTAAGCTGAGTGTACATTCTGACATTTCTCAGTTTTTCTGTCAAGCTTTTCCAACTTAGAAGTCATTGCATATATGTGATACTGTGAAGAGTGAAGAAGGTTTAGTCACTAACTCATATAATTCATTTATCTATATAGGTGCTGAAGGAGCAACAGTCATGTTATAAAATATAGCCAATAAGAACATTTGCTGCTAACTTAAAAGGATTCTTTACAAATGTACTAAGCCCATGTTTTATGACAATAAAATCAATTGCCACTAACTGAAGGAGCTGATTTCCCCGGAGTATAATATGTACTAAGAGCCCATGTTTTATGGCAAATCTTGTACAAATATTCTTTTTGTGTTTGTTTTTAATCCTCAATTTTTCTTTTCATTTAAATCATTGTGAAGAATCAATAAAAAATGGTAATTGGACTGACACATTTGTCCAAATCATAATGTGAAATAATTAAAATGGTTATGGGACTGATAAATTTTATCCAAAAACACATTAATTGTCGACACAAATTTGAACTCTTCAACCCATCTGACTTGAGGATGTTGCAAAAGCCCATCCCAAATGTCATGGAGCGTGTATGTTGCCTTTATGTTTGTTTGACATATTAATCCAATGATGTATCACCTGGTAAGCATTTTATGCTTTGTACTGATTTGTAGAGTGACCTTGATAGATTTGCTTTTATTCTAATTTTCTTTTATATTTGTGAAGTAACTGGTGAAATTGCCCTTGTTTTATTTTGCAGGATAATGTGATATCTACTCCTGCAATTAAGGGAACAATTCTGCCTGGCATTACGAGGAAAAGCATTATTGATATTGCTTGTAGCCTAGGTTTTGAGGTACTTATTCAATTTGGTTATGATCTTCCTGTTGTGTATGGCATCTTCTTTCTATTTTAGCCAATTATCGATGATTGGGCAGATGATGAAGTGTAATGACTATTACTCTTTGCGTTAATAAGCTTGAGATCTAAGGGCATGAATTATTGAGCATTGAGCATTTTCATACAAATATTCATTGTCTAGGTTGAAGAATAATACTTCCTTGGTTGACAATGATTCCATATGAAATTTGATTTTTCAATATGTACTGTTGTATCTTTTTGTTAAGGAAAATTTGCAAGAAAGAACCTTTTAAAATGACTTGTTTGTAAGAAAGGACCTTATATAAAAAAGTGACAGATTGAGACCTTACTTCAAAAAAAAGTTGTGAGATGGGACCTTATTTCGGGAAAAAAATCACAAATTGGGACCTTTTGATGGATTTTGGCGTGAAGAAGGTGGTTTTTGGGGGTCTGTAGGATTTCAGCGAGGTGGAGGTGGTATTCGGGGGTTTGTGTAGGATTTCGGCGAGGTGGAGGTGGTTTTCGAGGGTCAGGGTAAGATTTCGGCTTGGTGGATTGGTTTTCAGTGGTTCGGTGTGGGATTTGAGTGAGGTGGAGGTTGTTTTCGGGGGTCGGTGTGGGCTTTAGGCGAGGTGAGGTTGTTTTCAAGGGTCATGGTGGGATTTCGGCGAGGTGGAGGTGGTTTTTGGGGTCAGTGTGGGATTTAGGTGAGGTGGAGGTGGTTTTCAAGGGTTAGGGTGGGATTTCGGCGAGGTGGAGGTGGTTTTCGAGGGTCAATGGCCGGATTTTGTTAAAAGGTCCCATCTCACAATTTTTTTTTGAAATAAGGTCCTAATTTGCCACTTTTTATTTTTTTTTTTTTTTTTTTTTTTTTTTTTATATAAGGTTCTTTCTTACAAACAACTCACTATAAAAGGTCCTTTCTCGCAAATTTTCCTTTTTTTGATAAATTAAAGTATTGCTTGGAGATTATTGCTGATTTTACGGAGGAATGGGTGGCCAAGCAGTAGATGTTAATATAATTTGCTTGATCAAGTTTTTGGATATTTAAGGCTGCAATTAAAAGTTGTATATTGTGATGGCATAATTAATTATGTTGGACTGTAGAACATTTGTCATATCCTTTTTTTTTAAGGGTCGTTTGTCATATCCTTTCTCTCTTTGTTTTGTGTTATCGGATTAATGATATATTGTGATTGATTGCCTGTCCATAGTTGAATTTGTTCTCTTGTTTTAGGATATTTATCGAGGGATCAACTAACATTTCTCCAGTTCTGTAGATCAGTTGTCATGCTTTGCTAGTCATGTCATGTCTTTATGTTTCCGGCTAAATCTCAGTGGATTTATGTAGGTTGTGGAGCAGCTTGTGCCAGTGGATCAACTTCTCAGTGCTGATGAAGTATTTTGTACCGGCACAGCAGTGGTGGTATCGCCTGTTGGGAGCATTACACATAAGGGTAAAAGGTAACACTCACACCAATGTTTCAATCGCAGTATGATTTCATGACTAGGCGTAGAAATTGAGGGAGTAGCAATATGTTTTCATGGGTAATCTGCTAACACTAGAAATATAACTCTTAACCCCCCTCTTTTGTTAATTAATACGGAGTACTTTGTATATTTTAATCATTACCAAAAAACCAATGCAAGCAACGGTATACTGATGCCTGTTACAAAACTCAAAAACTCACAATATTTCACAATATTCACAACACACTATGGTAGTGGCATTAGTTTTCCTCCTAATTTCTAGAAAGGTTTTGGCTCTGGAAAGTCAGGAAACAATAGTGTAATGTGGAATGTGGATGGTGATCAGCTGATCACCCGTTGTTTCAACGATGATCTCATGGTTTCAGAGAGAGATCCACAAGAACACTGGAACCAACTGGCACTCTTATTTATTTTGTGTCAAAGACACAGGTTCTTGCAAAGCAGATGCAGCAAACTGATTCTGCTAAAAGTCTTTTGCAGTCTGCTACTGGCAGATTTCTTACTGCTGTTTGGCATAACCTCCTCAGTGCTAAAGCAGCTGCATCACCTTTTAGATACTTTCTACTTGAACGCCTTAATCCCATAAGTGGGGTCAGCTACGTGATCCAACTTGAGGACTTCCCATCCTAATACTACTCTCAATCATTGTGGCTCATGTATAGCGATGTAACAAAGTTTTACACTGGCTGTCACTGGCCTACTTAGCTTCTTATTTATTAAGGCTTGGGACTAATAGCGGGAAACCCACTGGTGGAGTTACCTTCTAGAGTTCTAGCCTCTAGGTACTAGTAAATATACAAAAGAGATCCTGCTAATTCAAATTCAACTCATTAAAAATAGCAATGTAGTTGCTTGCTCATTTTTTCACCGTTAACCAAACTCCAAACATCAGGGATTGTTTGATTATTCCAAATATTCTCCTCCATTGAATCTTGTTAATTTTTCCTTTAGTAGTAGATACTTGATTCGTTGTCTTTATGAGAATCCCTTTTACTGTAGTATATTGAAGTTACTATAGGTATACCTATACTAGTTGGTTTTCCCAAACTAAGTCTTTTCTCAACATTAAAAGCAATAAAAGAATAAGTAGCTCCCTAATCAAATAAAACTTAAATTGGGATAGAGTTAACAGACAATGTACTAGGCACCAAATCATTAGAGTTTTCTGCATCCTGTTGGTTTACATGGTACAACTTTCTTGCCGCACCATCCTTAATCCCACATGAACTTCCGTTTCCTCCCTTGTTGCCAGTTTATTGCATGGATTGATTCCCTTTAGTAAACCTTAACTTTGAAAGCCAATTTACATGATCAATCCAGAATATGTCTCCAATTTCTTAAGGACCTTTAAGATAATAACTGATCATAAGTTGTTTTCCAGGACTTGACATTCAAGCCTTAGCTCTTGCAGTAGTTTTACGAATTAGTGGCCCACATTTCCTAGTGGTGTAAGTCTCATGGAGGACAATGGGATCCTAAATATTAAAGAGGGACTCTCCTTTCTGTAATTAAATGCAATGTTTATAACATCAAACCCACTCAAAGCATATGTAACTCTTACTTAGGTTTGCTTCTAAATCTGAACTAGAGGATTCAGAAATTCCTGATGAATGATAACAGCTGCACAAATATGCTGTCGCCTCCAAATAAATGTAAATCCTCATAAAAATTAAGTAAGGCTCATTTAGCTTCCCCTGCCCATTCTCTTTTGGAGTGTTCCACCTGACGTGGATACATGAGCACCACTGCTTGATTGAAGAGTCCAAACATCCTTGGTACTAAGGAGTAAAGCTGTGAATCAGAAGCAATCTGAAAGCTTTACTACAAAGAATTCCCACACCTGGTTTCTTGGTAGTATAGTATTATATGTGAATTCAATAGCTATAAGCTGAAAATCAGGTTCTTGGAGTGGTTTAGTGGCATCTTATTTTTTGGATAATTGCACTGAATTATAAGCTGAAAATCAGGTTCTTAGATTGGTTTAGTGGCATCTTATCATTTTTTGGATAATTGCACCAAGTTACAATAATTTCGTCTACAGGACATCCTTTGGAGATGGTAAGGTTGGACGTGTGGCGCAGCAGCTTCATACTGCGCTTACTAGACTACAAATGGGTATTGCAGAAGATAATATGGACTGGATTGTCAAACTTAAGTGAAGATTGTTGTTGTTTTTTTTTTTTTTTTTTTTTTTTTTTTTTTTTTTTTTTTTGTTGTTGTTGTAACTCATTGTACACCATGCAAGGGGGGATACTATATGTTTCTTCAGCGTTAGTGTGGTAAATTGTCATTGTCTGGTTACATATTATCTATCAAGTTCCAAGCAAATTACTTGTTTTATTTATTTATTTTATTTTATTTTTTTTTAATGCAAAATGATCTGATGCCTACCTCCTTTTTGGATAATCTAAAATACACCATGTCTCATAAAGATCAGCAAGATGGTGAAAGTCTCTTAATTAGTTGTCCCAAATTATGGTTAAAGTTGTTTTAGAATGATGTGTAAGTGGTAATTATACCTTTAATTTGATGTTTCATACCTCTTAATCTGTCAACATCCCATAATTAAGCGCATTAAAGATTTTTATATGATTATAATATGAGTGATGTATAGGCATACTTACCATGCCCTTTTTGTTTGTGAAAATTGCTAGTCACTTATTTAATTCATCGAGTAGCTCCTTTATCTTGAAAGAAAACTGACCTTAAGTATATTAAAGTGTGCTAAACATGCAATTGCGCAACAACTTTCCTAAAGCCAACCATGAAAAGAGCAATATAAGATGATGTTGGGAGAATAATTATTACATAAATCAATCCTACTAGATAGAAGTCTAGAATACAATAGAGCATGTACAAATTAAAGTTTAAATAACCGTCAAGCTCCAATGTGGACGGCTTAATAATAATACAGTAATAATAATAATGATAATAAAGTTAAAAGGCATTTACAAAATCAGAAGGGGGAGCAATTAAACCAATTGGTCTTGCTTGTCTTTCTATGCTTCACCCATTATACATTGCTAATTCTTCTTTTGTAACATGAAGCTAGGCTACCAACATCAATCCCAACCCTACCCCCGAAAAAAAAGAAAAGAAAAAACCCAGTAATTACTACTAATCTGGGAAAATATGGACTTAATTTTTCTCCAATATATATGTATGTATAGATAAATATATTATCATTATTAATTTTTTTTTCTGTGCAAGATTTGGATGATAGGTTTAAGTTGGGAATTTGATGAACTCAGAGTCCAAAACTTAAGCGTTGAACTTGAATTGGTAATCCTTTGGGGAACTCGACGAATGGGTAAACAAAAGCTTGATCTTTCTCCGTTACTTTCCAATCGAAATTGATGACCAAATGGTGGATGAAAATTGCCATCTCTGTTCTAGCTAGTTCGGATCCTGGACATAGTCTTTGTCCTCCCCCAAATGGCATGAAAGTGTTTCCGCTAGTCGGGCTGGAGCTCGAGTTTGTGGCCGGTATGCCTCCCCGATTTACACCATTCTGAAAAGATGAAAACAACACATTAAAGATTATGCATGCATGGTCATAAAATAGTTGATGCAAATTATGCATGTTAATTGTGGATGATAAATTATTAGTTAGAATGTACTAAGAAATTGCATATATAAAATACACTTTGTAACTTGTCTCTTCTAAGGAAGAAATGTGACTTTAATACTTTGAATTGATCAAAATTCACAAGATTAGGTACATTGAATGGCAACCAACTCTTGCGATCTTTAAGTGAAGTACAATTTGAGAAAAATATTGACGAAGTACTACTATTCTAATAATTCTTTGACAAACATGCAACATTGCACCTTTTCTAATTTACTTTAATTTAGTACTCTTTAATGTTCTATTCCTTTACATTTATACTCTGTACTTTTTTTTATATATAATTAATTATCCTAATACTATGTACGGACAACTAGAATATCTTTTCAAAGGAAATGTTAAGGAAACTATGTCTAATGTGAAAGTATTTTGGAGAGACTATTGCATAATTCATAATTGCATTGTGTAACACTAATGTCCCACCTCCTATAATTATACCCACCCCTTCAATAAATACTAACTACTCTAGTAACAAGTGGTGGAAATATCAGTGCGGATTACACAATAATTTTCCTTGTACTAACTCAAAAAGGCTCGTATAACCCCAAAATCAACACCAAGTTATTATCCTAAGTAGTCTCATAAAGAAAGAGATGAGCAACCCTCCACAAAAGGGTTAATTTAACTACGTGAAAAACAAGACTTTAGATAACAACTTAGCCTTCAGATATTAACTCGTTCTATCAAATGAACAGGCCGTCATAACTCCAATATCAAAAGTATAGACATTAAGAACTTAGTGTAATTAGTAAAAGTTTAAGATCCAAAATGATTTTGGCTAACAAAAATCGTCATAAGGAATTGTACAGTATAAAAAAAAAGCCTATAACAATTGATGTATAATATGTGTATAATTGTTGTGTCCACTAAATCTAGGATAAGGTTTTTCAATTCTATAAATAATGATCAACTATGAACATGAACAACTGTAAAATGAATTAGGAGTTTTGTATTTTCCCTAAAACTAATAATTGAGCAGGGAGTAGAATTCATGAGATCATGCAATAAGATATCAAAGAATAATACGGAGTAATCAAAAGTAATGAACTTTTGTTGCATTATACAAAGTGTTTTTATTCTAATAAAAAAAGGGAAGAAATAAAACTTTCTGCTCCTTTTTCTTTATTTGAGCATCAAAAATGAATTGAAAAGGAAATTTGTTTATTATAAAAAAAGGAAAAATGTGATTTATTGCCATTTTGCAGGGGAGAAAATTCCTGGGGACCGACATCATGCTTTTGCGTTCCCGTTGAAAAAAGAAAAGACATGTTGCACGTGCAACCTACAGTCCCACTTCCACGTGGGGGAATTATCACTTTTGGACCACACCCCACTCACTCACTCACTTCACTTACTTAAATCACTTTCTCTCTCTTCTTTGGATGATGATGAGATGAGAGAGAAAATGTGGGGTTTGGTTAATCAAATCAAACCCCAACTTTCTCACAACCAAACCATCTAAACACAACCCTCCGTACCAGAGTGCTACACCCACGGGTTGATCACGACACTTCATACAGTGGGTCCTAATTAATCTTTTTCCCTATAACATTTGGTTTCTCAATTGGGAAAAAATATCAATTGGAGAACTAATTATGGCTGTTGTTCATTAGGCTTATGACTGTCTTTTTAAGGTCATTCCAGCATATATGTAAGATTAATTATGATGAAGGGTTTAAGGATGATTTTTAACCCTTAAATATATGTTACCCGCACTCTTCATTTCACCTCACGTACCCATATCAGACCCTCAACACTCGGATATGAGTATACATCCAAACCCTTCACTTTTAGTTCAAAATTATGAATTTTTTTTTTATAAAATAACCGAGTCAGATGCTTATACACATATCCGTGTCGAACATGGGTACCCGAGTCCAAGTAACATAACCTTAAACCCTTCATCATAATTAATCTTGTATATATGTCGAATTGACCTTAAAACATATGAATAGTAAGGGTTTAACATGATGAAAGGTTTAATGATTTTGTAAGTTAATTTAGTAAGAAATGAATATACTCAAATGCTTAGAAATTTTATTACTTTGTATGAAAAATGGAGTACTAAATAAGCTATTTCAACTTTTCAAGTGTCAATTTGATTTGGAGACTCATTAAAAAATTATGCACTTGTATAAAAGAAAGTTAGTACTCCATATCACCTATTCCTAATTCAGAATGTTAAAACAATAATGTTGATTGACAGACATAAACGAATCACGTACAGCTTACAAAAGAAGACAGAAAAAAAACAAAAAAAAAACTACTGGTGTTATATAGCTATCGAGACTCGAGAGTACACAAGTAAATAGTTGTATTAGTTGTTAAATGTGGAACTCAAGTTGAAAATTGACCAAACAAACAAAAACGTAGTGGTGCTCAGACTGCTCACCAAATATCTCATAACATTTATGACAATCAATTTAGTACTCCTTTCATTTTATTTGCCTATTTTATAATTTGTGGCTTATAATATCACTAACTGCAAAGTACAATATAGTGAAACAAAAGTACATGAACTATAAGAATCAAATTGTAAAATTTTCATTTCACTGAGGAATAGTGAGTTATCAAGAAACTATATACTTGTAAAGAAGTTATACATAGATAAATACTTTGATTAACATTGAAATAATATAAAATCAAATTAATAACATTTCCTTTTTATTGTATTTACAAATCCCCAAGTATACCCCTCTCACTCGGTTTATTGCTCTTATTTAGAATCTTTATGGAGACAAAAATGTCCAAAAACAAGAATAGTAAGACAATTTATTTCTTTAGATAACCAGACGTTAGTCTTATAATTTGTAACCATTAAATAGACCATTTATATTCAGCTACCCTGTTTAAGAAGCATGTCTTAGAACTGGTTCATATTTCATACCCGGGTGCAAACGGAAAGTAGGGCCGTCCTAAATGATCTTTCAATTTTCATAAATTAAATTTGCCCTAAACTTACATTTCACACACATGTTTAGGGGCATTGCTCTTTCATATGCGTGGTCCCCTTCCCTTATTTTGTCTCTAATCCTAAAACTGCTCTTATCGTCCCTAATCAAGATAAGTTTACAACTTTTAGTACTCTACCTCTCATTTAAAACTTCCCAAGCACAGTAAACTTACATATAATAAGATTATTTACTTAATATATAATAAGATTTCATAACTGAAACATTTGCTTCTTTTGATCTTCTAGTTGCTAGTCAATTTAATAACCCCAAACTTGTTTACCTAATTGTTAGCACACTGATCTATTTACTACTTACAATAATGTTTTATGTCACTTACAAGATAAACTTGAACTAGATTACAAGTACACATTTATCTTGTACTAGATCACAAGTACACATGTATAAACAAGTAAAGAGTAAACATCAACTGTGCAGCATCTAAGATAATGTACTTTTAACAAGCCTCTAGGCTGTACGTACGTCCCCTGATCCCCTCATTATCTCTTAATTTACTCTTACCGAGTTCAAAGTATATTTTTGGAATCGATTATTTTAAATAGACATTTAGGTTGTATGAATATAGAGAAAATTCAAACTTTATACATGTTATTCATGTCAAGTAATCGCCCTCTCGCTTTAAATGTTCTGTTTTTTCTTAAGAAAATGAGAAAGTTCCACTTGATGACTCCTAACACCTATGTTACTTGGACTCTTCATTTTACCTCTAGTACCCGTGTCGGACCCTCGACACTCGGACATAGATATGACACTTGAACACTTCATTTTAGTTCAAAATCATAGAAATTTTTCACAAAATAGCTGAGTCGAACACTTAGACGCGTACCCGTGTCGGATATGAATACCCGAGTCCAAGTAACATAACCTAACACTACTATAATATACAAACTACTAATCTTTGTCGACTTAATTCTTAAGTATCTTCATTTTTGAATTTCCTGATAAAAATCTACAATCTCTACATATTGGAAGTACAAGTGATTCATAAGAGGGACAACGAGAATTGGAAGAAAAACAGTTGGCAGTTATTTCATCACCTCTCACAAAAGCTTTGGATCCTCGTAGGGACAAGGAGGGAGAAGGTTTAGGGGTCAGGGAATAGCAACAACTCCTACCAGTTTGATTGCCTAGCCCATAGGATTAGGATACATGTCCCCAAAACTAGATAGGGCCCAATTCCCCTAAAAAATAAACCTTATTTTCGTATTTTCAACACATATAAATATGAATTAAAACGACTTATAGTTTGAATTAAAAAATATGTGTACTATTGTGCTCCGTAGATAGATAATAATATAATACGAGTACTTCTTGTTTAATGTACGGAGTACTACTTTACCAGAAATATACTAGAATTCTCAATGTATGTGTAAACATGGTTAAAAACGACATATATTGTGAACGGAATAGACGGTAAGGCGGAAAATAAAAGTAGGGAAAACTGACCTGCTGCCATCTCCAAGGGTTGAAGACATGAGGTTGGTCATAAAAGGCAGGATCCAAATGCACGGCTGCTAAAACCGGCAGCACTTTCCATCCACATGGAATGTCATAACCTTTACAACAGCAACATTACATTAATTAAACCACAGCAACATTACAATTAAATAAGATATCAACTTTCCGGCCGGCAAACTTCCCGTGAACCACCCAAAAAGTTTCCTCGAATAAATTATTAAAGTAAAACAGATATTAATTCATTAGTAGAGCTGACATTTACCTTTATACCGAACATCTTTAAGAGCCTTCCTATGCAGGAACCTTACTACATTGCCCAGCCTTAGTGTTTCGCTAATAACCTTCATTAATAAAAATACATTCAATATTGTTAATTATATACGATTAGTACCAATATTAATAATACTACCAGTGTTATTATTATTATTATTATTATTATTATTATTATTATGAACATGTACTTCTCATTAGTCACCACCTTCATTTGATCATTATTAATCAAAACCCCATAAAAGTTCTATTTTATGTTCCTAAATTTTGTATTGTTTCTCATAAACTCTAGTATAAATTAATTATTATTTAAACAATAAGGTTAAAAAAAATTTAAAATTAAAATATCATCAATATTATAAACGATGACTTAACAGGCTTAACCATGGTGTTAGACAGGATTTCCATATATTTCATGACGTAATGTTCAACAAATTTTTATGATTAAGAACTTAAAATATTACTTATATTTCATAGTGATTAAAATATTAAATAATACAGTTATACAGTCCTAAGAAGGCTTACACATTGAGTGAATTCCATTTTCTTGTAGTCATCCCAGTTCAACTCTTTCTCATCTGATTGCTGCTTAGCTCTGGCAATCATAAGGTGCTCTTCCTAAACATATTAAAACAAACAAATAAGCAAATGGGACCAAATTTTAAAGGCTGAATTACTCCATGATAATAATAATTTTTAGGAAAATAGGGCATACCCTTAATTGTTCAACAGCAGAAGGGGAGCCCTCCAAGAAAAAGATGGCTAATGCAATGGAAACAGAGGAAGTTTCATGTCCAGCAAACAGTAAACTCAAAATTAAGTCAAGTATTTGCTCTGTTGATAGATTGGAATACTTCAACACCCATCCAAGTAGATCATCTTCTTCAATATTTTCACTCCCATCATTCATCTTTTTCTTCTTCAACTTTTCCTCCATTTTCATCTCTATAAAATCTAGTATGGCTGTTCTTGACTGTCAATAAAATTTAGTAAATTGTTAATCATATAAGTATTAGTTTTCCTAATTTAGAAACTCAATTTTTGCATTTCACTAGAACAAATTTTACTATAAACAACCCATAATACCAAAAGTACCCTTGTGATATGGGAAATAATTTTGGCACTCCTATTAGTAAGTAGAGCACTGTAAAGTGAAAACTGTGCTCCCACAATGAAAATGCCAAAATTAAATTTTGGAGTGCCAAAATTATTTCCACTGTGATATATTAACAATTATGATTTCTGCACTCCTACCTCTACCTCCCCCCTCCCCCCAACAAAGATATTTTTTAGGACAATAATTTACCTTTAATGCCCTTCTATAAGGACTTCCTGGTAAATTGATAGGAGCTGATACCACACCTTTCATAAAATTAATATATTCCTTCTTTAGATGCTCTGTTTCAGCTTCCCCATGATCCAAACTCAGTATTTGCTTTGCCATCACATTGAATGTGAACTGCAAAACCCAAGATAAAAAAAAATGGTTTCATCCAGACAATCAATGTAAATGAGATAAAATAATTTTTTTTTTAAAAAAAAAAATAGAAAAAAAGAAAAAAGAAAATTCAAAGGTGCAGAAGAAAGATACCTTCTTAGCTTCATCTTGAGCAGAAAAGGTGCAATTCTCTTGCCAAGTTTTAAGAACAAGGACAGTCTGCCTCTCAACTTCTTTGATAAGATGTGCTTTAAGCCTACTGTGGCTCAAGAAATTGAGAGATATATTCCTCATATCTTTGTGTATCTCTCCATTCAAAACCAACATAGACCACTTTCCAAGTATCCCATCAATGCTACTTGGGTAGCTACTTTCAAACAACCTCCCTTCATTTTGAAAGATGAATCTATTCAGCCCAGCATCTGCTGATACAATTGTCGGTTCCCCAAACAAATTTGCCCTGTAAATCTTCCCAAACCTGCACAACTAATAAAACTTTAGAGAATTTGGGTGGATGAGACTACAATCTGCTTATTTGTATCTTACAAGTTTTATGGTGGTCTAGATGTATTCAATTTTGTTCTTAGGTAATCCAGAGTTCCTTTAACAGAGTGTATGAACCTATGAATATGAAACTAGGAATGCATGAACCTATGTAGGGAGAGTTCTAGCCTTGGTTGGGGCCTAGCCCGACTCGAATCAGAATTAGTCAGAGTCTAGTAAGCTCCTAATTACAGGTTGTAAACTAACAAAATATTAGAGCATATGGTCTTTTTCATTACCTTGCTATGTGTTGCTCCATGAATTTTCCAAGGGTGGTAGCTGGATGTGGCTTTAAGTAGCCAAAAGTTTCTCCAATAAAGGGTAAACCAGTGTTACCAGGAGGAAGATTTGGAAAGGGTTTCTTTCTCTTAAGGAAGCTGAGGGTCCAAGATAAAGCCAAAACAAATGGGAGAAGGTACAAGAAGAATTCTAAGTCAGACATTAGAGATTATGAAATAAGACTCAAAGCTTCAATGAAATTTGGGAAAGGAGTATATTTAATTTGTAAGCTTTTTGCTAATCTTCTCTCTTCCCAAATATGTGTTTGAAGAATGAGTCAACCTTGCAGTAAACAGCAAGACTGACAAGGGAGAAAGAAAAGAAGGTGGGTGTTTGAGGTTTGAATGGAAAAACAAAGAAGCAAAAACAATAACAAGACAAAGGAAGAGCAAATGTTTAATGAAAAACTTTGGAGCCAATAAGGGGGTTTATATAACCTGCTTTTTTGTCTTTTTAATGGCTAAATTAACTAAAGAAAAGGTAAAAGAAAATTAGAAATAAATAGAGAATTTACTGGTTTATTTTAAACAATAGAAAAAATAAGTATGACAAAGAACATCGATAATACATCTCCTTTGATCTACTTCACTACAAGATATTAGAGATATCAAGAGAGATGTTAGAGACATCAAAAGAGATCTCTCTTGATATCAATATTATTATCATATCCTTTAATTTTTGGTGTAATACGATATTATGTTATGTGAATATAATTGATATTTTGTAATCACTTATTATCTAGTTTGATTCTTGTAAATCATAGAGATTGTATTAGGATATCTTGTAACACTATAACCTTTTTTTTTTTTTTGGATATTAGGCTAATCCAGATTCTAGGCTCAATCCTAGATGGTTAGATTCTAGTCTCTTCCCAGTCGTTGCTGTGGAATTGTAACACTATATATAGTTGTATCCTATTATCAATATAATTAAGCTTTTTCATGCTCTCTTTTCGATATTCTCTTTCTCATAACTTTATCTCTATCACAAGACACTTTTAACACTATGGTTAATTAAAAAATAATAGCCTAATAGCCAATGGTGATCAAGCATTTAGCCATAACAGAGTATTGCTAAACGGACAAGTGGATGTACCTTTGCACGGGTGACGGCCAAATTAATGATAAGGAGGAGTTTATAATTATTTGAGGCTCTCAGACCTTATTAAATAACTTTTTGTATGTTGAATCAAAAATTTAATCTTTAGCTTAGCTTAGCTAGCAGGGGGCCAGTTTCCTCTCTGTATCTGATCTGAACATTCAAGTGCAATCAGGAGAGCAATGATTCCATGCAATTTAGATTTGCACTAAAGCTTCTATTTCAATTATTTTCATTAAAATAAATATATATAAATATAGTTTCGAAAATCTTATTCTGTACATGTTTTTATTTTATTTACATAGAAAACAAAAGATCAGTCCCAAAAAATGTACTCTGGTCTCAATTTTATTCTTTATATTATGGGATAATCTAAGATATATCAAAAATTATCACCAAAAATGCCACTCTTCTTTCACAGAAGTTTGATTGGGTTCCCTACCTTCCATTTTTGTTTGCTCCCACTTTCTTCATTTGATTTTTCATTGAAATTTTAGACAGACTCTGTTTGACCCCAAAAAATGATTGTGCGGTGGAACATCATATTTGTACTTGGTATTTGATTCTTGTTAAGTTTGATTTGTAATTGAAACGAAGAAGACACTAATTTGTTCCAATAAAACAATTGGAGATGCCAAACTCCCAACACCATATGATGAGCCTCTCAAAGCAGCCATACAACACTCAACAGGGTCCGGTGGAGGCCATGGATGATTAATATACTAGGTAGTTACAGACTTACAGTTTAGCAAATAGGTACACATAGATATAATAATAGATATTAAAAGGTGGACTAAGTTTACAATAGACTACACAACTTAATCAATATTTAACAATGCTAACAATGAGTCTATCTACCCTTATAGATATATAGATGCACAATCTTGCCGGTTTTAAGTTAGAGAAGAGCAACTATTTTGAGTGAAAGTGTTTCACCTTAATTTATTGCGAGACTTTGAAATTTATCTCTATAGAACAAAAATATACACTTATAAAATGAAAATCATGCTGTTTTCAAATTAAGTTATTGTGAAACTGCCTCATTAAATAATTTGATAATGGATAAATAGGACACTAGGTAGACATTTCAAATATTGTCTTCCCATCATTCTTTGGCACTACTCAGCCAAGCACCAGCTACTATGTACATGATGGAACACGATGAAAGTTACTGTAATTGTTTTCTTATGGGAAACGAAACCAGACAAAATGAGTTCTTTTCAGTGACATGATAAAATGAATTTGTTTGTATATAGAGTATAAAGATTAGTTTTTTTTTAAAAAAAAAAAAAAAGGTATTAAGAATAGTTAAAAATTTTAAGAAGTACCTCACAAAAACCCACAACAATAACAACAAAGTCTAAAATATATTTGAGGTCAGTGAATTGTTATAAGAAACCATCCCAAAAGAAAAAATAACAAGATTATCGATTGAACAAAAATTTGAATAAAAAACGTACAAAGTGAGAACCATAAATAGCATACAAATAAACTTTTAAGAGAGTTTTAAAACAATGGTAGGGATAAGAGAGGAAAAATATATGAGTAAAAACATAAAGATTTGAGAAAACTTAAACAAAGTAAATAAGCAAAGTTGGCAAAACATAAAGTACCTCTAGAAGGAAAAAATAATAATAATGGAGTACTAAATAATAATAATAAAATTTGGAATTTTTAATAAGTTATGAAATGTTTTACTTCCTTAAAAATTGTAATATCCTTTAAGTTTAGTTCTACCAAATATACTTCCTTATCTCTTTTTATTGGTTTAATATTAAATGACAATGGATTGTTTGGTTCGAGTCACACTCTAGGTGATGAGTCATTTAGTCATGTTTCAAGCTATTTCAAAGCATTTTTCATGTCCAAGTAGCTTATTATAACAATTTGCATTTATAACTTTTAAAATGGATTAGTCAATTGCAATATCAAACTTGAATGGAATTGTACAATACAGATATATTCAAATTGAATAATCAAGTAGTAAGCTTTACCATATCACACATTCACACCTACTAACAAATAAATCTTACTCCTATCTAATACTATAATTTTTTATTTTTCTTAAAAAAAAAAAAAAAAAAAAAAAAAAAAAAAAAAAAACCTATATAATCTCATTTAAATATAACAACCATGCTCCAAACTCACAAGTCCTTTTCAAAGATCTCAAACTAGTCTCTACTCTCTCTAGAGCCCTGAGAGCTAGAGTATCAATGATTAATATCATAGAAGTTGACATGGCACTCCCAAAATCGCATAACTACCTGGACTAGGGATGCTTAGCAAAATGATACTCGCAATTAGTGGCCACTAATTCTGAGATGGTTGATTGGCTGGTAAAGAAATCTATTATTTCTTTTATTTTTTTTTAAATGAGAGATTTGTAGATCTTAAATTATAATCACATTACACACTTACACAGCACTAATTTCCTCTATTATCTACAGTAATATATCATTATTATATGTCATGCTTATAAGCTAGAATATAAAAACCATTTGACTTTGCAATTTCATTTTTTTTTTTATTTTTCTATTTTAGTAAGGTAAACACTCACCTTAAGAGGATTTCCTCCCCTCTCCCATTAATACTCCTATGTTATGCACATTACTATTACATTCATCTTACAAATAAACTATGCTAAACAATACTGTTTTAAAAACCATCTAACTTTTGATTCTTCAATTCTTACCTATGCTAAAATTAACATTTCTAAAATGTAAGGTATATCTAACAATGTCTTCAATTCATCTAAAGATGAGCAATTAGGGTCTGTTCTCATTGATTGAACTGAGCTGAACTGAATTGAAATGAATATTTTATAAGAGAAGGAAATTAGGAACTGAACTGAACTGAGCTGAACTAAATTGAATTTCAACGTATGAGAACAGGCCCTTAGTGTAGGATAAAATTTAAAATCAGAGAGACATTCCACTAATTTTAATCCTCAATTTTTTTAGCACTAAGGTGTTGTTTGTTTGATAAGGGAATTTGTATTTCATGGGAATTAAATATCTATATCTAATTCCTAAGAATTGTCTAAACTTGTTTGATTAGGACGAACGAAGTTGTAAATCATGGGAATTTTGAGTTACATAGGGGGGTTAGGTAATTAACTTCCCATGCTTTGTGGAAAGCCACAATTCCCATGAATTGCAATTCTCCCATTTACACTTTTTATAGTCAACCAAACAACTCACTCATTTGCAAATTCCTATGATTTTCCACTTCCCCCATTTTATTTGTGCAACCAAACAAGCCCTAAAGATACATCCTTGGATACTATTTTCACATTCTCCTATAAGTCCCAAAAAAAGGTGAAGAGTCACACAACATAATTAGTCATGATAAGCTTAGCCCTATCATGAATTCCTTTTTTACCATAAAAATCACAAGAAACCTAATTAGGAAATACAAGATCAGATATCCTATGATGGCAATAGTATTATCAACCATTAAATTATGCTAATCTTATTAACTATGACATATACTTGGGGTATTAATTGAGTACAATTATCTTATAAATTATTTTTATTGTTACTTGTGAAATGGACCGTTTATTCTTAAATACTTATCTAATTAACTCAAATTTCATACTCCCTCCATCTCTTTATTAATGTTCACTTTCTATCATTTATTTCTCACATAATAAAGAGAAAGTGGACATTAATAAAGAGATGGAGGAAGTATAAAATAACTAATGAAAATAAATTTAATTATTTAAAGAGTAAACCCTACAATTCTTTAAAAACTTGTGATTTGATAGGTCAAAATTATTGATTTCAATACCACAAATTTTTGATAACCCTTTACAGCTAGGGGAAAATAATGAATCAATAATTGTCATAAAAATAAAGCAAAGAGCAAAGAAGAGAACTTCCAGAAATAATCATAGTCACCCAGCTTTGCCACAGAAGCAATCTAAAGCGGATGGCCAACTAAGATCCCTACATTGTTGGTCTTCACGTGGAATAACACTCTAATTGGCCGTCTAATTCTTCCAAGTTTTCTCTCTCCACCAAATCACATGCTTAGAGAGAGAGTGGGGGTGTTATGCTCAGTGGCCTATGACTAATAACCATCATATGTTCATCATATATATCCTCACCCAAATACCCAATATTAAACCCAGAGCATATAGTTCACCATCAAATGAAACATAACATACTCTGTCCGTGCCAAAATTAGAAAAATGTACTACATCTGAACCGTGTATCTCAGAGTAAAATTTAAGTACTTGTAGATGTATTTTAGGAAAATATTACTACCTCCGTCCCATAATATAATTTTTATTTATGTTTTTTCGCGGTATTTAAGAAATGTAGGGAAAAAGTGAATATAGTACATCAACAATTATAAACAAAAGTTAAGGGAGAAATTGAATGAAGTACATAAAAAAAAAAAAAAGGTGAA